ATTAAAAAAACAAGGTTCTTACAAACCTGAAATGATAGTACTTTATGGGATACATGCACAAAAGTAAAACTCAAGGCCCGTTCGCTGGCGGACCTCACCCTTCACAAACACATTGCTCAGGAATAGGAAAGGTTCCCGCCCACTCGGAGATCTTTGCTCTACAAAACACAAGGCAGTGTTTGAGGAAGGACAACTAAAAATGAGAAGGAAAAGGAGAGGTCGGTGATTTTCGGAGTCACTATAGTTCTGCGAAATTCAGTTTCATCTTCAAAGCGTGTTCTCTTCTTGGTCACGTGTAATGTGCAGAGCCCGGCTTTCTGGTTCGCCTGCACTGTCAGTTCCTTCTGTGGAAAAGTGAGACATCTTGAAGTTCACCAAACAGACCCAGGCTGAGGTGTGTGAGAGTCATTCCGCAGTAGGTGATGATGGTCCCTGCAACGCCAGTCCGCCACGGGGCTTTTAAAAATAGCCCGCTCGGCAGCCCCGAGCTGCGGTGGGTGGTGCATCAGCGCTCGAGCCCATGTAGGGAAGCCTCCCTTTGAAGACTGACCTCAGAAGACTGGGCGGGTCCCCTCAGTCCCCTTGAAGCTGTCCAGAACCGCATGGCTGTCGGTGCCAGCTTTGATTTCAACAGAACAACAAACCCCCGCCCGAGTGGGAACCTGTCAGCTGCTTTTCTTTGCTTCTCGAAGTCTCACACTTGACAACCCCGTGGGTTCATCTTTTGGGTCTTTGTGAACTGGATTTCTTATGTCATCCTAAACCCCCCTTAAAAATGTGCTGATCCCCTGGTGCTAAGTGCTCTTTGCAAGGTTCCAGCTGGGCCTACAGACGCAGGTCTCCAACAGGTCATGTTGAGCTTACAGATGAGGTTGTACAGTATAGAATCATGTTTTCCCAGACTGACTTCCCCAAACTGCTCCCTGGTGTCCAGATTCCACGAGCATTTCTATTCCTACCGACCATGAGCACTGGAAGCTTCCAGCACTCGATGCCAGGGGTTGCCCTCCAAGCCCAGGGTGGGTGTGTCCAGTATCACTCTGAGTACATGCTTCGCAGTCTTGGGTAATATAAACGCTTGTCACTGGACACAGTGAGGATGCAGCAGAGACTATATGTGAACTGTCCTTTCGTGTTCATTTAAAGGGAGGACATCTTTCCACTCATTGACTTCTTAGCCCAGAGAAAAATTGACATTTGTGCTTTTCCAGTTTTATACAATGGAATGGCTGAATTGGACAAGAAAAGAATGTTCAAAAGCCCCAGGGTTCATTATCCTTCACTTATGAATAAAGCACTTCAGACCTGAATTCAACATGTTACTATTTAAATATGGAGAGTTTGTTAATTATTCAGTAAGGACTAAGTAGCCATGAGCCTTCTCTGGCATCGCTACCCTCCAGCGAGTGGTCTTTGACTGTTAGTCAGGAACAGGTTTCATGTTCTCTCCTCTTTCTAGTGGACAGAGTGCCTTCAAATCCATGACCTCTTGATAACAACCCTTTCCATGAGGTAAGAGTTGCAATTTCTGAACTGCAAACGAGCCCACTGCAGCTGGGGATGAGCCGCCTCTCCTGGGGTTGCTCAGGGAGCGGGCAGCGGTGGCAGGGCCTGACCCTGGCTTCCAGGGCTCGGGCTCGTCCTGCCTCCCCCTCCTCTCCCTCTCTCCTCTCTTCGCATTCCCATTGTTCTTCTTCTCGAAGAAGAACATAATGAGTTTTCTCTCATTATGAAGGACAAAAGGTGTCAGACTGTTTCCACCTCCTTCCAGGGAGATCATCACCGGGTCTGGCCCTCCATCCAGCATTTATTTGGAGAGACGCCTTTGGCATATAAGGGCTTTTGTTGACGTTGACTGGGGATTTCAGCCATCCCAGCTGTGCCCTCTGTTTACCAAGAGTCCTTACAAAATTGCCAGGTGCCATCGTCCCAGAGGACTGCAGTGTTTACCCACACTGTCCATAGTGGTGTGTGTGCGGAAGGGAAGAGCAAGTGCCCTTCCAAAGCATCCCTATGAGTTAGAAACAATCAGAAGCCAAACCTCAAAATTCCCCACACCATTGTTCCATAGGACGCGGTTCAGTTTGAATTCCAGATTTTCAACAGCTTCAGTAAGGTTTCTAATTCATACCCACAGAAAGCAATTCTATAAGGACAGGATAAGGCAGTTGAATGGTAGTATCAACTCTACATCCCCTAACTAGCTATGTGACCTTGAGTAAGTCACATGTAATTTCCTGGGGCCAGGTGTTCACTTAGTATTAAACCTTCCATATCTACTACTCCATGAGTCTAAGGATTATAATTCACCTTGTAACTTGATAGACTTCTTCGAGGCGGAGCATGGGATCTGACCCTGGTATTGTCTCAGGAAGCCCAGGGAAGGGCAGGAGGGTGGTGGCCACACAGAGGCAGCGCAATTGGAAACTTCCACAAAATAGGCCAGTGGGACTTCCTGGAAGTGGAGGTGGAGGCCGAGCGCCGCCTGCAGCATGAGTAGGCTGCCTGAGGGTCATGACTCAGGTAGCACCGGGCAGGTGGGAGGAGGAGGGAGTTGAGGGCTGGCACAGAAACTGCCCCAGTTATGTCAGGGCCCTGGAGTCCTGGTGCCCAGAGGTGGCCCATAATTCCTCAGCCACTGAATACCATGAGGGCTGAGGTCAGGGCGCAGACGCCGGCCATGTGGGTGGAGAGCTATGGTCGGTGCACATCACCCGCAGTTCAGCCCAGTAGAGCAGGCCCCTGGGTACCAGGAAGTGTTCAGGATCAGGGTGCCAACCCTAGGGGGCCAGGGGCTGGGTGGGGAGGCAGCCTTTCCTGAGCAGGGGCCTGGAAGCTCTGAGGTACCTCAATAGAAGATGCTGAGGGGGTCTTAGGGAACCTGCGGGGGCCTGGCAGCTGCCCCAGGCCTGAGCCAGTGGAGAGAGTCAGGTGTCAGTAAGAAGCCCTTGCAGATGGGAGACTGAGCCGCTGTGGAACTTCCTGCTGCAGTTGGCAGCGGCTGGCTCCAGAGCGGGTCAGGTCTGGGATGGAAGAGAGCCGCATCCACTGGTTCGGTCCAGAGGCTGCAGGAGGGCTGGAGGACCCTGGTGAGAAGCCGATTCTCCTCAGTTAAATATGGCAGCCCCTCCAAGTCCTTCAGGGCTACCAGGGCCCTCCTGGCCCCATCCAAGCCAAGCCAGACTCCACTGTCCAAGCAAGGAAATTATTAGTCTTTCTGCTTATTCATCATATCCTCAGGAGTGCAGTTAAAGCCTATCGCTCTAAATAAAACGGTCCCAAACTTTCGGTTTCTCTATCTCAAAGAATCGTGCAAATATTCTGAGTTGTTTTAAATTGAAAAATAAGTAAATAAGCAAGTTGACTAGTGACAGAAAGTTTAGAATCATGTCTCCCAACCTATACTTGTAGCAGTAGCCAGGCAGCCCAAGGCGCACTTTTGTAAAAATGACCTTTGTAGGGATGGGAAAGTTGGCCTCGTCTGGCCCAAGCCCAGCATCTGCACTAATGCACTTATTTTCATGTTCAGGTCTTAGAAAAAAATGCCCAGTGTGTATCCGTGCACAGAGGCCCTCGCTGAACCCTGGGGTATCTGCATACCCCTTTATTTCATTTCCATTCTTCCACAAGATTAGAGGAGGAGTCTGCTTTCTTTAATAGGATTTTCCATCACTGCAGAGTCATTTTTGTTTTGTAATCACTGCTCTGGTTTTCATCCTTTCTCATTTTAGTTATTTTCTTGACTTCTAAATTACTCTGTAGAATTCTAGGTACACAAAGGGAACTTTTGTTTGTAATGAACATTTCTCAGTGTCCTGAGTTGGGAATCTGGGAGAATGCGAATGTCACGGAAGGTGGTGGCGCGGCCCTGCAGGACTCAGCCGGGTACTAGTCGGCCTGCTGCCCCGTGTGATCAGGGTTCCGGGGCTCCCTCTCCCAGAGCCAGGCCTGCTGTCCCCCCTGGGCCTGGGCAGAAATGACCTTAGTGCTGCTGTGGACGTCTCGGGTCTGCACTGCTCACGGGAAGGCGATGGGAACTCTCACCTCACTGCCCACTGAGCACAGGCTTCCGTGCAGATCAGCCGTTTACATCAGCTCCAGCTTCGCTTCCTGTGCTCCTGGGCACTGGCCCTGCCGAAACTCCCTTTAGGTCTCTGGTTATCACCTTTCCCATGGAGGCCCCACCCCTCTTACTCCCCCACAGAATAGCCACTCGGGCACAACTGAGCTTCCGCAGGTCAGTCGCCATTTAGGACAAGGTTCCAAGGGAAATATGTGCAGGCCCACCTCGCCCGCCCCACACCCGCCCGGCACCGTCAGCCCTGGAAAGCAGGAAGCTCACGGCGTTATTCCTGCCTCTCTGCTCTCCCAGAACCATCATTGGCACAGTATTAGGAGAGCAGAGTCATTCTAAGTCTTCTGTCAGCTCCTAGCTCCCCAACAGAGTCTAAACGAACCCCACCTTTCCCACCTCTAAGCCTAGCCTGCAGCCTTGTACTCAGACTGCCCCAAGTATTGCCTCACCTCCATCCCTGCCCTGCCTCCCGCAGGCTGCCACCTCCTGCCCCTCACCCTCACGTCCTACCTGTAGGGCCCAACACAGATGTCGCCTCTTCCTGGATCTCCTCGCACAGTCGTTAGCTGCCACACTCCACACCGCAAGGTCTTCTTCCAGCTCTTTCCTCCCCTGACCCTTCATGATGGGCTTTCTCTGCTCACTTTCCCTGAGTGGTCTCCTCCACTCCCATGGCTCTGGTCACCACGTCTACCCCGGCTCTCTCCCAAGTGCTGGTCCTCCTCTCAGCCACCCTGAGACAGCCCCCCCTCCCCCCACGCCTCAGATACCTGTGATCTCCCCAGTCCTTGCCCTCCTCCTGTCCCGAGGACATGGCTCTGCGTGGGTGCCTGTTGTGTGTTGTGATGCAAATAAGATTGCCATCTTGTTTGTCCTTCTGGGGCACTTCTAAAGCGCACGTGCTCACTGACATATACCCCTTCAGGTACACGCCTACATCATCAGCCACCTAAAGAAGGAGATGCCGAGTCTTTTGGGAAAGGAAAACAAGAAAAGAGAACTTATCAGCAGGTTGCCAGAAATCTACATTCAGCTGCAACGAGAATACCAGATTTCTGCAGGGGACTTCCCGGAGGTCAAGGCGATGCAGGTACTGTGCACCCAGTACGGCGGCATGGGTGGGGGACAGAGGCACTGCCACCTGTCGGCTGGTCGCTGGTTCAAGGGTCCTGGTTTAGGTGGAGGAGAATGCAGTGAATTCACCCTCCTCGTGGTGACTGTGATAACAGGCTGCTCCGGGTAGAGCGGAAGTTCCCTGCCTCCTGAAACCTGAACAAAAGGGGACCCAGTTCCAGAAGTTAATTAAGCTCACATGAGAGAATTATATGGGCCACCGTCTCAGGCTCTGTTCAAGGCTTTACGTTGAGGGGTTGCCTGTTTTTTGGAATCCCAGAACCGTAAGGGAGTTAGAGCTGGGAGTGACCTTGCAGGTCACCCAGGCTGCCTCCCCGAGCCGGCCGCCCAGCCGGCGCTGCCCTGCACAGGGGATCGTGAGCTCAGGGCCCAGTCACAGGCAGGGGGCTCTGTGGACACCAGACGTCACTGGACATAGCAAGTTGTGCTCACTGAGGATTTTGCTTAAATGTCCATGTTGGGTAGCCTTGGCCAGATTTCAGGGTCTCCCTGAATTGTGTGTGGGAAGCCCCAGATGAGCCGTGTGGGTGCTGGTTCAGCTGCCCTGGCCTGACCGGTGTGCCCAGCGCCTGCAGTGGTGGTAGATGATCATACCGACTCCGACCACGTCCTGAGCGAGGCAGACAGGCCCTCGCCCCGGACGAGAAGATGGTCCTTACAGAGCCCGACTGAGCACCTCCCAGCAGTGCAGGGCCTGCCTCCATGCAGGCCACAGGCCCTTGGAAGGCGAGCAGCGCAGACTGAGGGCTGCAGCCACCCGCCAGGCACGGGACAGGTGAGGCCTCCAGGCGAAGGGAAACCGCCCTTCTGGCTGCCTCTTCTTTCCTCACATTTGGTAGAGATGTGAGTTCCTAGAAATGTGTCTCTACAAGGAAGAAATCAGTTCTACAAGTGAGGTGAAAACTTGTTGGGGGCCACGGTGGGGGCAGGTTGGAGATCCAAGCCCCAGCCCGGTGGGAAGGCCCTGTCCTGCCCGGGGTTGCTGCCCTGTGGGAATCCAGGCCTGGATGGCTCACGGGAAGCTGGAAATCTGTAAACCCCTGGTTTTCCAGTTTGGGCTCAGATTTTCAAAGAATACTACACAGGCCAAACAGAGGATACCTGCGTGCAGGTCGCACCCGAGCCACAGAGAAAGAACTGCAGGGAGCGTAGTTCAAAGTGTGCGGCTGGAGGGCTGGCCTGTGCCCTGCCTGTCGCCGCGGGAGTGGGAGGCCGAGCGGGGCAGGTGGCAGCAGGAGGGGAAGCGTCGGTCCTGAGGGTTTTACGAAATGTAGACTTCATGTAAGTACACACTACGAGAGCAGTGGGTTACAGGCTGATGCCATGGCAGGCCTCCAGGGCAGTGCATCTGGAACATGTGATCTGGTCAGACAGGGCTCTGCTGGCTTCAGACTCAGTACAGAAACATCTGTGTTCTTCCATAAACGAAATAGGTGTTCCTGTACACAGAAGATGAATTGCTTTTTTTCTGGTCACAAGATGGCTAATTTGAGGGGCCTCTTGGTGCATTTTCCTGGGCAGATTCCCTTTTCATACCTTTGGCTTATGCCTGCGCCCTATGACCCACTGAAGGACCCCTGATTCCTGGGATCCTTCAGAAGTTTTTGAAGGGAAATTGGTTTCCTGACAGAACTGAAGACTGCACTCTGGCCCAGTGGGGCCTCTGTGGATCAGTAGCCTGATGTGGGTGCGCACTGCCCCACCCTCAAGCTGTGCTCCCAGGCTCTGAGGACCACAGAGCCTCTGGGGCTGCTGCAGCCTCCTGCCAGGGCCTCCCCCCCACCCCTCAGTGAACTCCTTCACATGGGGAGCAGACTGCGCCCAGAGCTGATGACCACGTTAGCCTGGACCTGGCCAGGTCAGAGGACCCCTAGGCCTGTCAGAGCGGGGGCAGAGGGCAGTTCCTGGGGAGGAAACAGGACACCGTGTGCCCCTCACCTCAGTCCCAGGAGCAGGCACAGCCCAGTTAGTTGGACGATACAGGAAGGGCTCGAACCTTCTCTGAGAGCCCTGTTGGTCTGAGTGCCCTAGGACTGGGGCCAAGGAGTCCCACCTGACAGGTGTCCCATCTGCCTGTGTTCAGTTATTCATTCACCCAAGAAATACTACTTAAGCCTACTATGGCCAGGCACACTGTTTAGGCCCCAGAATAAATCAATGAACAAACGTGAGCAAATGGAAAAATCTTTGCCCCTATGGGGTGTATGTTGTAGATAATGGTCTTTACCACTATGACTGTAGTTGACCATGAAGCTTTTGGCAGCAAAGCTTATCTGGGGGACCTGTTACCACACAAGTGCTGCTGTGCTTCAGTGCAGTTAATTAAGGCTCTCGCCGTCGGTTGTTCTGGGCTCTCTTCCTCTTAAGGCTATGATTCCACGAGGCAGTGACCCAGGTCCTGCTCACTGCCATATCTCTAGCACCTGGCATGTAGCAGGTGCTCGTTAAATATGTGTTGAATGAGCTCATCAGTAAGTTTAGTGTATGTTTATGTCAATGAAAGAAAGTCCAAGCCTATAGAAAAATTTTATAAGAGCTTATCTGAGCCAAAAATCTGAGGACCAGCCAGAAACAAAATCTCAAAGGATTGAGAAAAATGCTCCAAAGAATGGCTGTTTCTGCAGTTCTTTTTGTACACTCAGAATCAAAGGAGAACATGTAAGGAAGGTTATGTGAAATCCATTGCTGGTAGGAGGCAGGAGAAAGCGGCGCGGGGCTATCTCTAGGGTGGATAACAAGTGAAGTAGAGACACTTGTCTTACACTGGTAGGTGCAGAATGCTTGTCACTGCACCTTACAGTGAGTAGACATGGTCTGGGCAAAAGGCAATAATAAGGAATTTCCTGGTGCAGGTGGCTGTGCCTCCCAGGGGTCTGGAAGAGACAGTGACTGATGTCCTAAGGGTATGTTAGCCCAGACCCCAGGGCTCACTTAAGGCACAAATTAACCTTTTATTAAGGAATCTGTGGGCCCGGAATGTGACTGTGCACCATGACATGCCTAGTTAGGAATGTGTGAGTAGACATCCTGTGTGGCTCCTCTGGGTCACTGAGCTTGTCAGGTTTGCCACAGGGCCCCTCTGTTACGTTCACATATATGTCATAGCAGGCTCTGGGGTGGTGACTTTCTCAGACCCCGGCCCAGCCCTGACTCGGGCTCTCGCAGGGCTTGTAGAGCAGCCGTGTCCAGAGAAACCCCTGGAAGCTGGAAGGGGCTTCCTCCTCAGGAAACTAGCTGGACCCTGATCACACCACCCCAGGCCCTCAGGACTCCCCAGGGAATGAGGCAGGCCTGGAGCCTGTCAGGCGTGCTTACAGTCAGCTGACACTCCAGGCTAGTTTGCTGTCACCCGGGAAGCTTGTGGGGAGGGTAGTGATCATGGTGTGGGTGGGGGCCTCTGTCAGTCAGCCCTGAGACTGTGGAGCATCTGACATCCTGGGCAGCACGGGCATTCAGCCTCACCTCAACTGCGTCTGGGATGGGGATGGGGCTCAAGCTTGGCAGAGGCTTCGTGATGACCTTTGCACATCTCAGGGTCACTCAGAGCTCACCGATGCCAGCTCTAAGTCTGCTCTCCCTGTCCTCAGACCAAGCTGGTCCAGCTGATCTTAGCCATAATGAGGGAAGTGTAGTTGGAAGGCTTTTGCCTGGTGCTGGTGAAGCTGCCTGTGTCCACCCTGCCCTTTTAGGAGGGAATCTGAGCTACCACACTGATGTGTCCAAACTGGAAAACAAGGGGAACACGAGCGAGCCAGCTTCATTGCTGCCGCGGTAGTCCTCCGGGGAGTCGGCTGAGGAGTGTGCCGCGTTTGAACAGCAGAGGGCAGCAGAGCCGTCCCGTCTGCTCAGACCCTCCCTGGGTGCAAAAACTGCCTGGTGCATGGTGGGAGTGAGTGGGCCGGACCGCCGGCGGAGCCGGGGCTGAGCACTGACCTTCGCGTCTGGAGGCAGCCGGTCCACGGTCCGGGCTTGGCGGCTCTGACAGGTGCGACCGTTGATGAGTAAATCTTTAAATTCCCCAGGGTGTCTTCATCCCACTAAAAAGACTTCTGGCCCTGACTGGTGTGGCTCAGTGGATAGAGCGTCAGCCCCACCACCACCACCACCAAAGGTTCAAGAGTTCGATTCCCAGTCAAGGGCATGTACCTGGGTTTTGGGTTCAATCTCTGGCCTTGGTTGGGGTTGTGGGAGGCAACCGGTCAATGTGTCTCTCTCACATTGGTGTTTCTCTCTGTCTCTCTCTCCCTTCTTTACTTCCTCTCTCTCTAAACTTCAATGGAAAAAAATACCCTCCAGTGAGGATAAACGGAAAAAAAAAGACTTATGATGTGGAGCCACCCTAGTGGAGGGCAGGGAGGCCAGTGGTTTATTCTGTACCCCATACTCCCTGGCCAGGCCTGGGGGGGCAAGGTTTATTTCCTGTGTGCCCACCAGGACAGGAATCGCTGCTACTGCTGCTTCCTGTCCACCCCTCAAATATGTAACCATGCACCCTGGCCAGCTTTCCAGAGGTTTGCAGTCTGGGTCCACGCCCCCTGCAGGAGGGTGGAAAGTTTGGGCTGACACTGCCCTCGTTTGTCGTCTTGGCCAGACACAGGGCTCTGTGTGTTCAGGGCTCAGGCTCACTCAGGAGGAAATAGGGTAGGTGTCTGTGCACCCAGGGGAATCGGGCTTGTTTATCCAGCAGCACTGGGATTTTTGTGTAGGCTGCATGCTTTCCTCCTCCTGGGCTTTCTCATCGCAGTGCCCTTCGCTGGCCGAGATGTTGGCAGCATCGTTTGGTGCTGAGGGTGGGGTGACATGCAGGTGACCGAGCCGGTCGGTGAAGATAGAAGCATGCGTTTTAGAAACTCAGCCTACACCTCCCTGCAGCTCTAAGCCAAGTGTGGGCCGCACTCTGATGTCAGCCCCCCAGTGAGATTTCCCAGCCACAGAGTTGGCTGCTAAGAAGAATATTGGAGGTGTCTCTGTAGAGATAATATCAGGCCACTTACCTTTCGGTTCTGTCCCTTCCACCATCTAAAGCTAAGGGCCTCGTTTCTAAATGACCCGCTTAAAATGTCCACCCTGCCGGTAGACCCCGGAGACCACAGCTTTGATTCTCCCCTGGAAGCAGCCTAACGTCCAGCTCTGTGGGACACAGTAAAAGGAATGTCTCACGTAGCTGTCAGGCCGATTCCTAGGTCCAGGGCCAGCCCGGCTCCGTGTGGAAGGACTGCCCAGAACACCACTTCTGCAAAGATGGGGAAGGGGCTTTTTGGTTGGTTGGTCTTGGATTTTTGTGGGTTTTTTGTTTTGTTTTAGCTCCTGACATTCAACGAAATGTCTGTGAAAATACTAGCTGAACAGTCTAAGGAACAGATTTCAGTGGATACAGTCTTTGTAAAAAAAAATAGTTTGGGAAAGTCACTTAAAAAGTTTGTATAAAAATTAATATCATGGAACAATATAATACATTATTTCTTTAAAATGCAGGTTGTTAAACAGTGTGGACTTGTTTCAGTTAAAGTGTGTGTGTGTGTTTATAAAAATGGCTAGAAATGCATCCCCCAGAATATTAGCAGGTTATTGCTGGGTGATGGGATCATAAGTGATTTAAATTTTTTATTTTTGTTTACTGGTCTTTTATCCTCAAAATATTTACAATAAGTCCGGCCATGTGGCTCAGTGGTTGAGCGTCAACCCATGCACCAAGAGGTCGCTGGTTCAATTCCCAGTCAGGACACATGCCCAGGTTTCGGACTCGATCCCCAGTGGGGGGCATGTAGGAGGCGGCCAGTCGATGTTTCTCTCTCTCTCCCTCTCCCTTCCTCTCTCTCTCAAATCAATAAAGGGAAAAAAAAAATTTTAAATACTTACAATAAAAGTATGATATTTATGATAGTGCAAAGTTTTATTTTTTCTAACTGCCTGTCACATTACTTCTGCCCCAACAGTAGGTCTAAAGGGAATGTGGAACCTCTCCCTGAGAGTCTCCCTGCTCATCTCCTGGCCTGCTAGTTGTCCCAACAGAAATACTTCACATGGAGTTCGTGTAAAAGTTGGCATACCTGGAATTTTCTGCATTTATTTGACAAAACTGCTGTTGAAGACGTTTTTCACTAAAACTTTGAGGCTGCTCATAAAAAGCCCTGCAGAGCTCTCACAATTCAGGACGAAAGTTTTCAGTGAACAGGTGGTTTCTCCCCTCGGACAAAGAGGAGCTGTGCCCCCGACCCAGCCCAGGCAGCCTGCGTGTCTGGCGTGTTCATTCCTGTCCTCTCCCTTTTACTTACTTGGCTTTTCCCTTTTTAGTGACTTCTGTTTCATGTTAACATTTTCACTATAAGCTAAGTCCACCCTTTTTGTTTTGTTTTTTTGGGGGAGAGGTGGTGTTAATCCTCACTGGAGGATATTCTTCCATTGATTTTTAGATAGAGTAGAAGGAAAGGAGGGAGAAAAAGAAACATAAATGTAAGAAAGACATAGATTGGCTGCCTCCCTCACAACCCCAACCAGGGCCGGGGATCGAATCTGCAACCCAGGTACATGCCCTTGACCAGCAATTGAACCCTGAGACCTTTGGTCCATGGGCCGATGCTCTAACCACGGAGCCTAACCGGCCAGGACTAAGTCAACCGTTTTTGAAAGTGGACAGGAGCAAAAATAGTTGAGTGTCCTTCCTCTGTTACAACATAGGCTCCCTGAGGGTGTAGACTGTGGCTTTTCATATTTATATCCCCACGCCTAAAACGGCCTGGCACATAACAGATAGCCAATAAATTTTGGATAGATTGATGGGTGAAAGATGGATAGGTTGTTGAAGGACGGACGGATGGATGGATGGATGAGTAGCCAAGGAGAACCACGGCCGGTGGAGCATTTCTACACAGCCATCCACAGAGCCCCTGTGGTCAGCCCTGTCCTGCCAGGCAGTCGCCTTGTCTCTGGAGCCTGTGCTCCTGACGCCCCGTCTGCGGACGGGCCAGTTCCCGGAGGTGGAGCCGAGACTTGCCTCATGTCACCGGTGTACTCGGCCCTATTGGCTGGATTTATACTCGCCCTCCCCATTTCTACTGTGTTCCCTCTTACCAGTTTCAACTTTTGCTTATTTATACCCCAAACTACATTTTAAAAAGCTGATCTGAAAATAGTGTCCTTAGTTTTTTGTTTCTTTTTCCCTCACCCGAGGATGTTTTTTCATTTTTTGTTCAGAGTGGGAGGGAGAGAGAGGAAGAGAGAGAGAGAGAGAGAAACATTGACATGAAAGGGACACATCGAGTGGCTGCCTCCCGCACGACCAACCAGGGCCGGGGACAAACTGCAACCGAGGTACGTTGCAGGAAGGAACCTGGATCTCTCCAGACTGCAGGCCGACACTCTAACCACTGAGCAAAGTCGGCCAGGGCTGTCCTTAGTTGTTTTGAAGAAATGAGCCCCTCTGCCCCGGCATCATGTTGCAGCAGGAGGAGCACGAGGCAGGAGGCTCGGGCTCTTGCTGTGACTCCACCGGGACACCCACGTGTTCTCTGTAAAACACGGCGGTTAATCCCTGGCCTTCCTTCTCCCACATTGTCCTGAGGTCCAGCTGAGATCAAATGCTGAACTTCTAGAGGACTGAAAATAAGAAAAGGGCAGGTGAGGGAAGGTTGTCTTAAAGCCCTAAGGGACTTGCTGTCAGTCCTACCCCCCGCCAGCAGAGATCGGCTGTTGTCGCGAAATGCTGCATCCCATGCATCTCATTTCTTGTTCCAGAAGTCACTCCTGTGCCTGGGACCCCACCACAGCGAGCTCTGGGGCAGCCCCAGGTGCGGAGCGTCTGCTCTGAGGGGGCCCCCCGCGCCCCGCCCCGTTTGCTCCCTGAAGAGAGCACGTAACCAAGCCTGTGGTTTCTCCTTCTGCAGGAACAGCTTGAGAACTATGACTTCAGCAAATTCCACTCGCTGAAGCCCAAGCTGATCGAGGCCGTGGACAACATGCTGACCAGCAAGATCTCGTCCCTGATGAGCCTCATCAGCCAGGAGGAGCTGAACATGCCGGTGCAGCTCGTGCAGGGCGGTGCCTTCGACGGCACCTCCGAGGGCCCCTTCAACCAGGGCTACGGGGAGGGCGCCAAGGAGGGCGCCGACGAGGAGGAGTGGGTTGTGGCCAAAGACAAGCCGGTCTACGACGAGCTCTTCTACACGCTGTCACCCATCAATGGCAAAATATCGGGTGTCAACGCCAAGAAGGAGATGGTGACCTCCAAGCTGCCCAACAGCGTCCTGGGCAAGATCTGGAAGCTGGCCGACTGTGACTGCGACGGCATGCTGGACGAGGAGGAGTTCGCGCTGGCCAAGCACCTCATCAAGATCAAGCTGGACGGCTACGAGCTGCCCAACAGCCTGCCCCCCCACCTGGTGCCCCCCTCTCACAGGAAGTCCTTTCAGAAGGCTGACTGAGGGGGCGCCCACCGGGCAGGCAGCGTGGGGTGGGACTCCTGGGACTCGGGCCCGAGGTCATTGCCGCCACCGACTCACTGGGTGACCCTGGGCAAGGCACTGCCCTCTCTTTGCCTCAGTTTCCCCATCTGTAGGATGGGGAGGGCAGACACTGGACACTAGATGAGGTCCTCTCACCTCCAAAATTCCCTGAGTTTTCATTAAAATAATGCGGGGAGGTGGGGTAAGGAGACTATGTAGGGTGGAGAAGAAAGAAACTGACCAAAGAGCACCCAGAAGCCCGAGTGCGGAGGTGGGCTGCTGGGCGCCTGGGCCGCTCACCACGTACACCTGTGTCCCCCAGGGCAACCTGAGGGAACAAAGATTATTTATTTTGTTTCCTGCTATCTTTAGGGTAGAAAAAAGTAGAGCAGAGAGGGTTTCTGTTCTCTCCAAACTGTCTACCAAAGAGAAGACGTCGCCACCCGAGGCTTGAAAGGAGGGTGCTCCTGTTTGTGTGCCCTGAGCCCTCTGCCGCCCCGCAGAACAGGCAGCCGGGCGGAGCGCGCCCGTCCCAACACCTCCCGCTGCCCGGCCCTGCCAGCCCCACCCCCCGCCTCCCCAGCAAAGTTGTATTTGGTTAGGAATTTGTCATTAATTAGGAATTAATTAATAACTCATTTTATTAGCCCTGGCAAGATTTCTAGTATTCATTTCAAGTCATGAAGTCCGAAGATTAGCTTTTCTTGCTGGTCTGTCCAATAATTTGTAGCAAAGTCTATTTAGCATACTTAAACTACAGTCAGGAAAAGAGGTGGTTCTCCCAGTTGTCACTTAGACGTGTTACGTGTCCCCAAGGCTCCTCGGTCAGTGGCAGGATTTAAACTCAGCAGATTGTGTCTCCGTGAGCGCAGGGTCCTGGGCCTGCGGCCAGAGGGGACCGAGAATGCAGCTGCCCGGGGTCAGGTAGAGGAGCTCGGTCCGCTAGAGGCGGACACGATCTTCGTTTATTTTAAAGAGATTTTTTATTATGTCCAGGTTTTTTCTTATAGGATAAATGCCTTTATACAGAAACAGCTGTGTGGTTCATACCGTGAATGCCCATCATGAAGCAGGATTTGGGCAGGACCCTAGAACATCAGCTCCCTGAGGTCCTCGCCCAAGTCCCCCAGATCAGCCCCTCTGGCCTTGCACTCAGAGGCCTGTGTGAGGGGCAGGTGGTCGGTGCCCACTTCCGCCCTCCCTGCTGCTATGTGGGCTCCAGCTCGGAGCGTGGTCCTCCCACCGTGACAGGCAGTCGAAGGGAGAGACGAAATAATGACGGCTGCAGGGCGTGGGGTCCTGCCAGCACCAGAAATGAATGAAATCAGAACAGCCCCACCTGAGCCTTCCAAAAGCCACTTTTTTATTCCTGATGTTACCTATGACATCAGAGTCAGAACTGCAGGCTTAAGAGATATTTTTTACTTTAAGAAACATGTATGCAGATGCCAGCCCTCTGACTCCCTCGCTTGCTTCCTAAATAATTTTGTTTTAAGAGAAATAAATGCATAGTATGATTTTTATTCTTACTGAGCACTTTTAAATTAATTGGACACAGAAAAGATGTTTATAATTCCAGTACTGTGATAATGCGCAGAGTTCGCCAAAGAGAAATCGAGAGAGTTCACTCGTCCATGGGTTTGGAGATGTCAAGGTCAGCTGACTTTCCATTCAGAATTAATCTTGCTTCTTTAACTCTGCATTGTCATGTACAAAGATAGATACATACACCTATGTCCCATGAACATGTGTTTCTGACACTTGTCGACATGCACGTGTGTGGCTCTGGCCAAGTGCTGTCTGCGGAGACGAGAAGACAGAGCCAACGGACTGAGGTTCCCACGCGGAAGGAAAATGGTGCTGTGAGCCCTGCCCCCGTGTCCTCGGGGAACATCCTTTCCCTGCTGAGGGGTGGGGGGGCGGGGATCACGTATCCATTTTTCATCTTCTCCTAAACATGAAGTCACTGGAACTGATTGTAAAGAAAACCACTGGACAGCATCAGGGAGGGCACCCAAGTGAGGGCCCATATCTTCCCAGAACTCGCACAAAGTTCCTTTCATCTGTGTCCAAAACACCCATTATCCCCACCCCCACCCCACACAGCAGGGTTGGGGCACAGTAGGGTCTGTTCACCTTGACTGACCTTGCCCTTCCCACACCACCCCGGCTGTCACAGTACCCTCTCCCCAGTGTTGACGTGGTTGGGAGAGTGAAGTAGGGAAACTCAAGCTCTAAACTATCTTCAGCCCGGCCGGTGTGGCTCACTGGTTGAGTGTCCACACACGCACCAAGGGGTCACTGGTTTGATTCCCGGTCAGGGTACATGCTCAGGTTGTGGGCCAAATCCCCAGTGGGGGGGCATGCAGGAGGCAGCTGATCGATGTTCTCATCAATGTTTCTATCTCTCCCTCTCCCTTCCTCTCTCTCAAATCAATAAGGAAAAAAAATTGTTTTTAAACTATCTTTATGTTCTTCATGATTCCACAGAAGAAAAATCTAGTTTCTACACAGCACATGATATCACGTAACAAACCTCTGCAGACGAGTTCAGGGGGAAATGAAAACCTTAGCCTACTCGTCCCAGAGTTGACTTCCCGGTGGTAAACTGGCTAGTGGGGCCCCCACAACCCATCTGTAAGGAACCAGGCAAAGACCTGCCCAAACTCCCGCTCTGTGGTGACTGCAGATGTCGGCCTGCTCCAGCCCAGCCTCAAAACCAACTCCTCCGATGGCCCCAGGCAGGGCCGCTCTTCAGTGGGGAGGGCCATTCCTTCAGTTGGCTTTGCTTCCCCAGGTCTAGACTGGGTTTGTTTGAAACGCGGGTCATTATGCAGCAGTGTCTTCAGACTTGGGGCTCTGGTTCCTCCCGCGGGGCAGCGGGCCTTGAGTTGAAGTCTTACTCTTATGGGGCTGGGGGTCCACGTGGGTCAGAGAGCATGAGGAGACGCAAAAGGCCTCCTGCCCACCTTGCTCGCTCACAGGAGAGGCCTTGGCAGAGCCCTGGCCCCACTGCCCCTGCAGGTCCTCCCGCGGGTCTCCACACTGGGGACGTCTCGTGCCCGAGCCCACTGCCCGGCTGGGGTTCAGCCAGCGGTGTCACGCCTGACATCCAACACCCCGACAAACACCTTGAAGATGAGAGCATTTAACAGGCGCCGCTTCTTTCCCCCACAGAACGTGGCAGAAAAGTAACATTCTTCGGGCAGACAACCACTGAGCTCATTCAGGTCAACAGGGGCCTGAGTTAAGAGTGTCAGGTGCCCTGTGTGGCCCAGAGGGTCCACAGGTTGGATTCCCAGTCAAGGGCTCACACCCTGACCCACGTGTGGGAGGCAACCAATCTCTCTCTCTGCCCCTCCCTCCTTCCACTCTCTCTAAAAATCAGTGGAAAAAATATCCTCAGGTGAGGATTAACAAAAAAAAAAAAGAGAGAAAAAAAAGTGTGGCAGGTTACATGTCAATTAGCCAATGCAGTGAATACACAGTGCTTCTATTTGTTTTGCAATCTTTTTTAGAAGTCAAACAACAAAACAGTCTACTGAACAATAAACTTCTGGAAAAAAAACACTAGTGTCCTCCGCTGGCTCCGGTTGTCCAGGGGCTGCATGCAGCTGTCTGGAGTGACGCGGGGACCCCTGTCAACCATTCTGAAACCAGGCGGAGGAGTCAGGGCGTGGGGTGCTCCTTCTCCGTGCCATCCCTGTGACCCCCGATTTCCTGTCCTCCCTGGGTGGGAGGCTTCCAAAATGGGGCTTTTTTTTTTTTATCCTCACACGAGGACATTTTTCCATTTTTTGTTCAGATAGAGTGGGAAGGAGAGAGAGAGAGAGAGAAACATCGATGTGAAAGGGACACATTGAGTGGCTGCCACCCACACTACCAACCAGGGCCGGGGACAAACTGCAACCAAAGTACATGCCCTTAGTGGGAACCAAACCCGGGTCTCTCTGGACCGCAGGCCGACGCTCTAACTGCTGAGCCAAACCGGCCAGGGCCCCAAATGGGGCTTCTTTAGAGGGAAAGCAGTTGCATCCACTGAGGGCAGAGGCCAGGTCTGGGAGCAGGCCCCACGGGAAGCTAAGGCACCAGCAGAGTGACCGAAAGCCAAGACTAGAGGGGATCTAGAGACGACGGGCATCACTGAGCACACTCAAGGAGCGGTCCTGCCACAGTGTCCTCTCCCCGTGCACAAGAAGGTGCACAGTACTGGGGGAGCCCTGGCTGGCTGTTACTGCGTCTGCGTCTCACCACACCTCACAGGTGTGGACCACCCAGAGCAGACAGCTGAGTTCCTCCCACTGGCATCCAGACCTAGAATTTCCTTTGAAATAAGGTTCGGGTGAGATAGACTCCTACCCCCTTTCCAGGGTGGGTCCTGATTGACTTGAGCCAATTAGAGTATTTCATCCCCCTGGTCACAGAAATTGGTTCGGGAATGGACATGTGGTTCAGTGAAGCCTATGAGAGCCAGGCCCCTCAGACTTCCTTTTCAACTCTTAGGAGAAATGTTCTCTTCTCTGAATCACGCAATGTAAAGAAGCAAGCCTGTTGCTGCAACAGTATAAATGGCATTGAAAGGGTGCCCTGAGCTGCTGGGGTTAGGGGAGTGAGGTTAAGCAAAGGGAATCCAGGTCTGTGGTAGCATCATTTGAGCTGCTGGATCAAACCTCACCTAAACTCCTCCTCCCACACTTTTCAGTTATGTGGGCCAATACATTCCCTTAATATTGTTTAAATCTGTTTGACTTGAGATTTCACTTAATTGCAAAGCAAATAATCTAAAACCAATAGGGACTCTCATTTCAGCAGGGGCTGCAGTAAGTCGCTGCAAAAGAGGAGCCGGTCCTCACTCGCAGTGGCTTTCCTGCAGTTGAGCTATGAGGGAAGTAGTTCCCCATCTCCACTCAACAACCTCGAATACAGTAACCTCTGCTGAGATGGATGAGCAAAGCGTCATGCAGCATCCTCCTGTGCCCCGGTGGTCACATCACACAAGGTGCCCTAGGCTGAGGGTCTTAATAGGATGAGAAACAAGCTGATGGGAGAAACTTCCTAGAAGGAGCAAGATTTTAACTGGGGCTGACAGTTAAAATAGGGAATAGAAGGGACATTCTAAGCTGAGAGAACAGCCGAAGCCCAGAGGTGGGCAGGAAAGCTCGGCTCTGTCCAAGCAGTGGGGAGTCCTCTTAGGTGTGACTCGAGTTGTGCTCTGGGAGGTGAATCAGGGCCGTGAGTAGGCTGATGTGCAGGCAGGATGATGAGTTGGGGATGATGAGCAGCTGCAGGCGCAATGAGAGCAGACAGGGCGGTGGGTGGACTGCGGAGCACCGGGGTGCACACAGCAGCCGCCGCTGGTGACGGACTGGATCCGGCTGTGAATGAGGAAGCTGCTGGGGCTCAGCCCGAGCACCAGGAAGCCAGCCAGCGGCAGGAGGGACCTCCCTGGGAGAGGACAACGGGGGACGAAGATCCTCTCAGATGTAGGGGAGTCGCCCCATCCCAGCCCAGGTTCAGGTGTGATTCGTCCCCCTCAGCTCTCCGGGGCAGGCTGTGGCCACCGGTCCCCTCGCTGGCCTTGCCTGTCAGGACACCTCCCTGAGGAGTGTTGTCTCCTTCCCAAGCCACCAGGGCTGCTGGTGGATGAACCACAGATACATACCCCAGCTCGGAGTCTGCTCCCCGAGGTCAGCAGACTATTCTGTGAACCACCTGAACTGGAACTCGCGCTCCCTCTGGCACGGCCCAGGGTTCTCAGGGAGGGAGGGAGAGGAGCCACCTGCTCCCTGAGCAGCCCCGCCCCAGAGCCCCATGGGGGAGCTGCAGCCTGGGTAAAGGGACTGGAGGGCAGAACCTCTGGTCAGAAGCTTCTGCACCCTCTTCCCAGTCTGGCGGGGACTGCCTTTCCGCACCCCACAGGGCCTCTTTGGGGGCACCACAGGGGAGGGGTGGGGGGGACATGCTGAGCCAGAGCCCCCTCCTCTCTCCACCCCTCCGGGGAATCATCAGACCCTGGGCCTAGCTTTCCAGCCCCACAGAGACGCACCCAGCCCAGGGCTGCCAGGCAGTGCACCCGCCTGGAGCTGCTCTCGGAAAGGAGCTCCCCAGAAGGGCTAACCTGGACTCCCAAAGGCCGTGGAGACAACAGTGGCTCCCCAAAAGCCAGAGGACTCACTGTTTGGGCTCCAGGGCAGGTCCCCAGCGCCTGTGCGCCCACGGAGTTGGCCGCTTCTGTTCCTGGTCCTCTTCCTGGCAAGTGCCTGCCCTTTGGGAGCTGCCCCTGCCCACGGAGCCCAGCCCCTGAGCCAGTTCACCCTCCCCTCTCGGGCGGCCATCAGGGGAGAACCAATGCAGTAAGGTGTGAATGACCAATAGGAGCTTGTTTGCCTTTTTAACAAGTCCTCGCAAACACCGATGGCTCTGGTGAAGGGCCCTGTCTGCTCCCAGACCTGCCTGACCAGGGCTCCCTGCGTCCTGACCGCGCACCGCACAGCCGCCACCCCGCTTCCCTCGCGGCTGAGCAGGAGCTGGGCGCTGCTGGACCCCAGGACGGTGGCTCTGCAGCCTGATGAGCCCTCCACCATGACCCACCGTGACCCACGTCTCCCCGCTACCACCTGGCCTGGGGGAGAGGCGGGCGAGCCCGGGCTGCGGAGTCAGACGCCTGAGTCTGAGCCCACCTCTGCCACGCCCGGGCGGTGCGCCCTTAGCTGTCACCTGACTTGACTGTGCTCCATCTGCGACATGGAGGTGAGAATGCCCCGGTGGGAGAAGCTGTGGGGAGGGCTGGGGGAGCAAGGGCAAAGTGCCCCCGGTGCCTGGCACACAGGGGACGTCTGGTGAGCGACGCCCCCTCCTGCTCCTCCCCGCCCAGCCCCTCTGCTCTCAGGCTGCTGGGCTCCTAAAGGGATTGAAGAGCTCAGAGAGCTGGACTCTGCGAGCACAAGCACAGAAGCAGCTCTGCTGGGCTGAGCCCATGCTTTTGGGGGGCTCTCTTACTCTCTGGGCTCAGAAAAAGGATAGCACCCCCAGAGGTAAGACCAAGTGAGGTGAAATAAGATAGAAGGAGGTAGGACAGGGCCCCACACTCCCAGGTCTGAGTGGCAATGCAGGCTGACCCCACTTCAGTGCTCCTCAGCTGAGGGAAGGAGCTACCACCTACCTGGGCAACCCGGGCTGGCACTTGGTGTCCAAAATGAGAGTGCCCCTGTTATAACCCAGTAATTCTCCATCCGCTGGAAGAAGGAACCTCTCCTGGGTTCCTTGAACCCGAGTTGTTTTTGCAAAAATTCTTGAAGAGGAAGGTATGCATCAGCCATGACCACAAGGGTATATTGACCATGAGCTTAACTAATCAGGAGATGCCAGACGGGGCAATGAGACATTCAAGGCTGGGATCTAATCAATGTTAAGAAATATAAAACAAACAACTTGTGCAGCTACTAACTGCTGATACCCGCTTCTGTACACGCAGCTTGCTTGCTCTGCTAAACCCTTGAATGACCCCTGTCCTATATAAGCAGCCCTCCCCCTGAGCTCGGGGCTGCAGTTCTCCTCTGTGTAGGTTGGCTGCAGTCCCTGCGCAGGTAATACAGCTCCTAATATTCGAAATTACTTTGTGTCCCAGTGAGGTCGATTCTCCTGGGTTACAACAGCCCCTCTCCAGGGCCTGCCCCCAAAGTGTCATCCTGACCCCTTCCCACGCCCTCTGCCAGGTCCTGATTCAGCTCCAGGACACAGAAGAGCTGCAGACTCAGCGCCCGCAACGAGTGGCCAACCTGCTCTGCCGGACTGCAGAGAAGCCAGTGCGGCTGGAGGCCCAGGGTTTCCCAGACTCCCTGCCTGCCGCGCAGCACCTACTGGTGGCCTTGGCCTCCTTCCGCACCCGGGAGAAGCCACCGCAGCTGCAGCAGTGATGGGCCTCAGCGATCCTGCTCTTCCGGCTGCAGACAGCACTTCGAGCCCAGAACACAGGGCCTTCCTGCCTCAGAGGGCCTGCGCCCTGTGGAGCTGTCCCAGCACTGGGCAGGCCGGGAGCGGGCAGAGGCCTCACAGAGCCAGGCCTGCAGCAGGGACTCCTGCAGCTAGAGCGCCTGGAAACCCTGGCCCAGGGCTTCCAGCGCAAGGCAGCCCTCAGGGAGAACTATCTGACAGACAGGGAGCAGGTGCTGGGCCAGGCTGCAGCCTGCCCACCAGCTCAGCCACATTGGAGGTGGCTGCCCAGAGGCGGGCATTCTGGAGGCGGGCATCTTGCCCCAGGAAGGGTGCTTCCAGGCGTTGGCCGAAGTTGTGGACATCTTCCAGCAGGAGCAGTACCACAGCTGGGCAGATGTGACCTGCAGGAGAGCCCCAGGTGTATAAACAGTCCTCAAAACAGACTAAGGCTTTCCTACCATACCTCTATAATTACACCTGTCCATTCCCAGCCACAGAGGAGTGATTTATGGATCCAGGGTTCTCTTTAAAAAGATCTAGCTCCCTCTGATACCTGAAATTCCACCACTTATAGTTCATCCCTTTTGGTAAAGCACTGTCCTCTCTAGAAGCCTCTTAATTCACTCACTAAACAAGCACTTACTGAGTGACTACTATGTCCAAGCACTGTTCCAGGGCTGGAGATTTAGCCGTGGAAAGGGCGCATAAATCCCTCCCCTCATGGAGCTAACACACTATGAAGGCAAACAGGCAAATAAGAAAAGTGAATGGTATGTGAGATGGTAATAAAAATAATAACATGCCCAGCTGGTGTGGCTCAGTGGTTGGACATTGACCCATGCACCAAGAGGCACAGGTTCGATTCCCGGTCAGGGTACATGCCCAGATTATGGGCCCAATCCCCAGTGGGGGAAATGCAGGAGGCTGCCGGTCAATGTTCTCTCTCATCGATGTTTATCTCTCTCTCCCCCTCTCTCTCTAAAATCAATAAAGAAACAATATATTTTTTAAATAATAATAAAGCAAGAGAGGGGAATAGGAGGTACCAAGGGTGGGGGGAGGGAGTTAGATTGGGTGGCCAGAGGAGGTTCACTTTTGAGCAAAGACCAGAAAGAAGCGAGGGGCCAGACATCCTAAGAGACGGACTATGCTGGGCGAAGAAAATGGGGCTGTGTCCCAAGGTGGGCAGCCGCCTGGTGTGTTTGAAGACCAGCACGGACACCAATGTTGGCAAAGTGAGCGAGTGGGAGTTGCGGTCAGGGAGGTGCAGGGGCGAGGGGTGGGGCAGAGATCATGCTGAGGTCTGAAGGGCACAGAACGGACGAGGGTTTTCCTCTGAGAAGATGGGAGATCATGGGGGCTTGAGCAGAGGAGGAACAGAATCTAACTTTTGTTTTACAACCATCACTCTGGACGCTGGAACAGGAAGGGCCAAGGCAGAGCAGAGAGCAGTTAGGAAGCTGCTCCAATAACCCAGTCCAAGAAGCAGTGGAGGCCAGGAGAAGGCGGGATTCTGGATGCATTTTCAATCCAAGAGGATTTGAGGACAGATCAGATGTGGGGAGTGAGAAGGTGAGTTATCAAGGTTTAGCCCAGCATCTGGAAGGATGGAGTTGCTATCCCCTGCGATAGAGACTGCACAGAAGGCTTGGGGAGGAGAGACCTGAACCTCCCAGGCCTCCTGGTTTCTCCTGCTGTATCTAAGAGGCAAGGATGCATTGCCCCTGCTGCCCCAGGCTAGGATGCTCACAGCCCTCATCCATGGAGCTCAGGCTCCTGCAGGGCAGCCAAGCCCCCAACCAGCTGTGCACCCCAAGGCAGCTCTCCTGCCCCAGCCCAGGGGAAGCCACCCTTATTCTCATGTCCTTCAGGCAACTGGAGGTCACTCGGCGCTGGGAGCAGCTCCTGCAGCGTCTCCATGGGCAGAGGAAGTGAGTGGCAGGCATCAGGCTGAGCGGAGCCTGCTGAGCGAGCCTGCTGAGCGAGCCTGCTGCAGGAGGTAGAGTCGGCCTCCAACCAGCTCAAGGAGCTGCAGGTGGGCCCTGGACCAGCAGACCTCTGGGGAACACAGCAGATGTGCTGGGTACTCATGGGAACCCAGCACTCTGGGACTGCAGTGGCCACTCGTCCCTCACCAGGTGCTGGCCAGCTCCAGGGCCTGTGGGCAACAGCTGGCAGAGGTAGCGGAGCTGCTGCAGAGACAGGACCTGCTGGAGGCCCAGGTCTCTGTGCATGGAGACCATGTAAGGCCTCTGGCCCACCAGACCACAGAGCTGAACTCCTCCCCGGGCACCGGTGCGGAGGTGCTACAGGCCAAAGCCCGGGAGCTGACCCGGCTCCACCAGCCTGGTGTGTCTTGTCAGAGCCCCTAAGAGCTCCTCTCAACTCCTCTACCTTCTATAACCCAAATATACAACCTCCTGCCCAGGCTAAAATATTGCTGGCCTGGCAACTTCCTCTACACTGACCCTCACCCTCAAGGTTTCTGTCTCCCCTGTTGAGCCAGAGAAAAGAGAACTCCTGTCTACCTAGGGGGGAGTCTGAGCCCAGCCGGGGAATCCCCTCCTCACCACCGCCCCCACCCCCACCCCCAGGCCTTCAGTGACCCTTGCTGTCTCAGGCGGGCCTTGCTGGAGCCGACCCTGCAGAGGGCAGAGTTCCCGCACGCCTGTGAGGAGGAAGAAGCCCGGCTGGTGGAGGACGCGGCCCTGGGCCAGGATCTTGGCCAGATCGCAGCCACTCTGCAGAAACACAAGGTGCCTGCTACCTTGAGTCCTGCTTGTCCTACCTCCCTGACACCCGTCCTTACCCTCACCCAGCTCCCTACTCTACTTCCACCCAGGCCTGGAAGCCGAGCTCCGAAGCCACCAGGCTGTGTGCGCTGATCTGCAGCGGCGGGGAGGGGACCTGGGCGCCCGCTGGCTCCGACCCGGCAGGATCCCAGCAGCGGGCTGAGCAGTGCGGGACGCGCGGCCGCAGCTCCGTGCCCTGGCGGCATAGCGGGGAGCGCCACTGCAGGCAGCCCTGCCCCTCCGACAGGTAGAGGGACCGTGGGGTGCAGGCAGCCCTGCCCCTCCGACAGGTAGAGGGACCGTGGGGTGCAGGCAGCCCTGCCCCTCCGACAGGTAGAGGGACCGTGGGGTGCAGGCAGCCCTGCCCCTCCGACAGGTAGAGGGACCGTGGGGTGCAGGCAGCCCTGCCCCTCCAGTAGGTAGAGGGACCGTGGGGTGCAGGCAGCCCTGCCCCTCCGACAGGTAGAGGGACCGTGGGGTGCAGGCAGCCCTGCCCCTCCAGTAGGTAGAGGGACCGTGGGGTGCAGGCAGCCCTGCCCCTCCGACAGGTAGAGGGACCGTGGGGTGCAGGCAGCCCTGCCCCTCCAGTAGGTAGAGGGACCGTGGGGTGCAGGCAGCCCTGCCCCTCCGACAGGTAGAGGGACCGTGGGGTGCAGGCAGCCCTGCCCCTCCAGTAGGTAGAGGGACCGTGGGGTGCAGGCAGCCGGGTGGGGCCCTCCTCTCTAGGGACGCAGCCTCGGGGCTACAGGAGCGGAGGTGGGCGCCGGAGAGCGCATCCAGGGCGCTAGACCAGGCGAGGGAGGCCCCGCTGCTGCGCCCCCTGCGGCTGGGGCGGGCTGTGCAGCCTTAGGGCCTGGGCCGCCGCTGCTGCCCCCGCAGTGCGCATCCGCCCTGCCGCCCCAGTCCAGTTAGTGGAACCCTGTCTGCCCACACCTGCGGAAATCATCCAACTAGAGTTTGGCTCCTCTCTTTCCCCACCAGTCTCCAGGCAATGATGAGGTTCCTTCAGGAATGTTCCCTTTACTTTCATAGCCAGGCCTAAGGTGACCCTTCACCCTTAATCCCTGTTCCTTGCCGTGGTCCTTGTAGGTTTGGGGTGGCCTTCTCTCTACACCAGACTGCTTTTCAAAAACCCTCCCTCAGTTCTTGGAGCCCCAGTTTTTAAAACAGGCATGTATGGTGGGCAGGTCGGCTCAGCCCCACCGGGGTTGGCAGTTCTCTTTCAAAATGCTGCATAAGTAGCTCAACATGTGTAAGTCATGGGCTCTCGGGCCCTGCACCCACGTATGGCCCTTCCCTCTACCCCGGTTCTTTTCTTTTTTTTTTTATCCTCACCCAAGGACATTTTTCCATTTTTTTGTTCAGATAGAGTGGGAGGGAGAGAGAGAGAGAAACATCGACGTGAGAGGGACACATCGAGTAGCTGCCACCCGCACGACCAACCAGGGCCGGGGACAAACTGCAACCGAAGTACGTGCCCTTAGCAGGAACCGAACCCGGGTCTCTCAGGACCGCAGGCCGACGCTCTAACCACTGAGCCAAACCGGCCAGGGCTCTACCTGATTCTTACAGAAACTCCACATGCTGGGCCCCCTCTCTGCCCAGCCATGTCCGTGTACCCTCAGAGCTGCAGCTCAGGTTCTCATATCTCAGGAGGCGGCCTGGCCGAGTAGTCAGTAGCTGACCTGGGTTCGGGTCCAGCCTGCACTGAGCATTTAGGTGGCACCTGACCACCAGGTCTGAAAGGTCTGTGGTTCTAACCTAGCCAAGGTTGATCTCTCCCTTTTCCTTTGCATTTATTCCCTGGACCACATAATTAACATTTTCAAATAGATCCACAGTATATTAGCAACTGTCTGGTTCTACCCCCTCACTTCACGATGAAGTAACCAAGGCTGAGAGGCCAAATGAGCGCCCGAGGATTTGCGGTTACCCCCGTCCCTCTGTGCATTGCTGACGTGCATTGTACTAGCACAGGCTGTTTCTAGTGTTGCCTTCAGGCTCCAAGGGCCTGCTTCTCCAGTGTGAGCTAACTGATTGAATGACTGAGTGGGGGGTGCCCTGTCTTCCGTGTCCTCTACTATCCAGCCAGTCCTGGCATCAGTAGAGGGGTTAGGCCTGGTGGCTGGCATTTTGACACTTTACTTTGCCCCATTATGCCCTGGGGGGGGTGCGGAGGTACCCCCTCTGCTGAGGGTTGGGAGCCACTTTGGCAGCTAAGCAGAGCTCTCTCTCTTCCATACAGAGGGAGCCCCCAGAAGGCTGGAGCAGGATTGATGTCAATGCGACCAGGAGACCCCAGCATGGGACCCAACTCTTAGCACCACCAGGCAGCCAACACCCATGCCCCCGGCGCAGATGCACTTTATCTACAGAGGTACACGGTCAAGACCCCATGTGGGAGCCTTAGCAAGCCATACATCTCTTCTGGGTGGCTCTCTGGGGCATCCGGCTACTGAGGGAGGAAGTTAAGGGGAGGCTATTTGGGGCTCAGCAGAAAGATGTGCATGAAACTGCCCGGAATCCTGAGTCTCCCTACATCTCTGCTGTGTCCCCCTTCGCAGTCTTTCTCTGTACCTGTTCCTTTTCTTAGGTCCCCTCAACCTAACCCTCAGCAGCTAGCCTGGCTTCTGCTGCTCTGTCTGACCCTTGCCCAGGGCTAGAGGCACAGAGGGACAGAGACCAGATGCTCGTCCACCCCCTGGGGAGGGCCAGCAACCCTCAGCACCTGTGCTTCCACAGGGTTACACCCCACCTGGCCCCGGGGAGGGCCCTGCAGCCAGTGCACCAGACAGGCCCCGGCAGCTGGCAGCTGACGGACAGGGAGGGCTGCCCGACCAGGGTGCCCACCAGCCATGTCATGGAGCAGGAACCCCAGGCAAAACCACTGGCCCACCCTGCCACGCCTTCTGCTGCTTGGGGGGACCCCCCTCCGGCATAGGTGGTGTCTGCCCTGAGCTCTCCAAGGGAGGCCTACGGAACCCAGGTTTCCTGCCACTCTGGCCCCCAAATCACCTCGAAGATGGTCCTCCCAGCTGAGCCTGACACTGACTTTGACCCCAACACTATACTCTGGACACAGGACCGCTTGAGCCAGGACTGTGCGGGCCCTGGCAGAGGAAATAATGCTCCTTGTTCAAGAAATGTCCATGAAGCGCCTCTCCTGTGCTGGACCCTGAGCCATGAGCCAGGGACAGAGCAGTAACTCACATGCTCCGGCCCTCAAGGAGCTGACAGCACGGCAGAGAGGGTGTGACAAGTCATCAGATGCATGTGCGGCTGTCATGGGAGCGTGTGAGGCGGAGCCCAGGTCAGCTCAGGAGTCAGGGAAGGCGTCTCAGAGGGAAGGGCTTTCAGGCTGAGACCTGAGGGAAAAGCTGAGAGCAGATAAGGCCGGGGGGCAGAGCGGGTGAGATGGCAGGAAACCGTTCTAGGTGGACCTGTGCGGCGGCAGGAAGGCCCGGTGGAGGAGGAGGGCTGGGGGGTCTGGAGCACAGAGAGGTGGCAGTGGCGGGTGGCTAGAGGAGCCTGGAGACCGGGTGGGTCTGGCCAGTCCCACAGGAGGAGCATGGATTGTGCCTAAGAGCTGAAGGGCTTGAGTAGGACAAGGCCAAAGAGCACATTCTGCCAGAGCCTTTACCCAATAAGCTGATGCCGCTTGCTCCCCTGGACCTCAGACAGAGGGCACAGAGCCCAGCAGGGGGCAGACACCCTCTCTGGTGCTGGTCAGGGGGTGGGGAACCTGCTCTGATGCCCGGTGTGGGGCACTGACCCCCACCCCAGCCTCTGGGCCTGTCTCTCCTCAGCACCGCAGGGCCCGGCTGGAGGAGGCAGTGGCTCTGGTTTCTATGCTCCTGTGAGTCCAGACCATGAGAACTTGTAAGACTTACTCTCTTAGCTACTTTCAAATATGCAATAACAGCATTAAATGTAGTCAGTTACATCCCTATGACTTATAACTGGAAGTTCGTACCTTTTGACTCCCTTCACCCAGTGTGCCCACCACTACCCACTGCCTTTGGCAACCACCAACCTGTTCTCCATCGAGGAGCTTGTTTGTTTTTATATCCTACATATAAGCGAGAGCATATGGTTTTTGTCTTTTTCTGTCTGGCTTATTCCACTTAGCATTACACCCTCAAAGTCCATCCAAGTTGTCCCAAATAGCAAGATCGCCTTCTTTTTTACGGTTGGATAATATTCCATTGTATATACGTTCCACCTTTTCTTTTTATTTTTTTTTTCCTTTATTGATTTCTAGAGAGAGATAAGATAGAAACACTGATGAGGGAGAACTGAAGCAGAGAAATCCTGGAGACTCCCCCAAAACCCAGCAACAGCAGGAGGAACTGAGCCAGAGGTGAGGATGAGGGAGTGCAGGGTAACGGGGCGCAGGCTGGAAGCAGTGCCCAGGCCTAAGTGCCTGTCACCCTGAGATACCAGGGAAAGACGGGACGTGTCAGGGACAGGAGAGGGTGTGGGGACAGCCAGCCTGCAGCTTCTATCATGTGAGCCTCTGGCCAAGGCCCCGGAGGGACAGGGGCATCCTGTGATGGAGACATCCTGCTCCCTCTGCCCCGGTGGGAGCAGCTGGAGGTCCTGAGGACAGAGAAGGAAATGCAGCTGGCGCTCACCACGGAAGTGTGCGGACCCTGCAGCAGTGGAACCCACACAGGTCCAGCCGCAAGACGTGACGCTCCACCTGGGAGCCCCAGAGCCAGGGCACTGAGGACAGCCACTACATCCTGTGACTGGCCCAGCAGAAGATGCTGGCACTGGACAGGACCACCCACTGCCTGCAAAGGGGGGCCATAAGGGACAGCCTGGGCTGGGCACGGTGATGATTCCATGGGAGGGAGGGAAGCCAGAGCATGGTTATCGGATGTAGAAAGAGATAACTTGGGGTAGGTGAGGATGGGCAGGGGTAGGTGAGGATGGGCAGGGGCAGCGTGAGAACAGTGAGAAAATGCTCACGGGGGAAGGGAAAGCCACACAGAGTCGCATCACCTTCCCTAGGGAATACAGGCCTGATTACCCAGCCCAGGGCAAGGCACTGACTGGGTGCGGCTCTCTGGGCCTGCGGGGGGTCAGCGCAATGCAATGAACTACAGACACCGCTTGGAGTGAGGGGGGCATTGCAAGGGAGCAAATGCTTCAGATCCTGGATGCAGCCCAGTGTATTTGCAAAGTGGTTCCCCAGGTTACATGTTGTTTTAGGTCATTATTTCCTTGAGATGGCGTCTCTGCGTCTCTGCGGACCATCCAGCCAAGCCCCGTCTCGCTTTTTTCAGCGGAGAAACATCAAAGGAGATATAAAAAAACAAACCCATTCACTCCTGGGCTTTCTTGCCCATTATCTCTTTTGGGGTGGCTGTCCTACCCATTAACATGCGAACCTTATCTATTTTCCTACAAACAAAACAATCAGTTCAGACAAGGTGGTGTTCCTACCCATCAGGCAAACCTTGTCTATCCACACCCATACTTTGATCCTTGGCTGGCCAGGTCTCGAGAAAGTATATCTCAAGGTTACATTTTGTTCATCCACCAAACCCCCATTCCTACATCTGGGTGGTGGGCCTGTCTCCCGGTCCAGAAGCCAGGCCCCACAGAGAGCCAGGTGCTGCAGGAACAGGTGGGGGGTCTGCAGGAGTTACTGGGGCAGATGCCGCAGCAAGTGGCCCAACAGGCCCAGGCCCGGCAGAGCTTCCTGCAGGAGAGCCAGCGACTGTGGGCGAGGTGCCCAGGCTCAGCTGTGCGCGAGGAGGTGGTGGGTGTGGCCTCAGCCCAGCAGCTGCTGGAGCACGGGACCTGCTGGAGGGGATCCACGCGCGGCAGGAGAGGTCAGGACAGAAGGGCAGACGGCACGCCTCAGACTGGCCAAGGCCTGTGGTCGGGCCACCAGAAAGGGAGAGGCAGGGAGCCGTGTGTCACCCGAAGGACTGACCCAGGCTGTTGTCCAACATGATGCTTGAGGCAGGTTTTCAAGGAGGGAAGATATCACCAAGAACTGGTCAGGCATCCTGCACACTTGGGGAGGGACCCAGAGCTGCCTGAAGGTTCGTCCAGTCCAGGCCCGGCCATGCCCCTCCCGGTGAGCTTGATGGACTGCTTTCAGCCAGGGCAGCCTCCTCTCTCAGCCTTTCTGGGCAACACAGACCCCACTGTCCCCTGAAGGCAAACGGCTCAGGACCTCCATGGGACTGTGACACTCACCTCCTCAGTATGGTAGGCCTCTCCCCCTGCGGAGATGATGGTTTGGGCCCGTCAGGCAGGCAAGGTTACCGAGTATAGTCTGCAGCCCCTGCCCGCATGAGGGAGCCTGACACGTGGCCGACCAGGCACTGAATCCATCCCGTCCTCTGCTCGCCAGACTGGACCACCGCTCAGAGCAGTGGAGCCTTTTCCTACTCCACACAGAGGTGTTACCTGCTCCCAAGCTGTGCCTGTGGGCTGCACCCCGCGGAGAGGGCGCCTCCTCTAATTGCTGTGGGCTCCCTGTGGCTTGCAGTGGCCCTGCAGTCGGGCACGTGTGCGGTTTGAGCATTCCGTGTGTGGTGCTGCCCCAGCCCGCGTCCTTGCTGGGCACCGCCAGCAGCGTGGCCAGCCTGAGCAGGTAGCATGGGGACTGCTGAGTCCTAAGTACTGTGCTGGGCTCTTAAACTCAGCGCCCACTGGTGGGCCGGGCACAGCTGCCCCACCGGATGAGCGAACCACGGGGTTAACCAGCCTCAGACCCCCTCCAGCTACCCTCACACCAGGGATCCGAGACCAGACGAATGACCCTGGGGGCCAGAGGGGGAAGGTTGGCGAGAAGAGGGACAGGCTTTGACCTCTGCCTGTGTCCTGGCCAGGATGCAGCAGCTGGAGGCTCGGGGCCAGCCCACGGCAGCGGTGGACCCCCGAGAGGGGACAGTGCTCTGAGGCTCCCAGGCCAGCAAAGCGGGGGGCTGAAGGCCACCTGGGAGCAGAGACAGCAGAGGCGGCAGGAGGGGCTGGAGCTGCAGAAGTCTGGCCAAGAAGCAGATGGTTTCTCTTCGAAGTGTGCCCACCATGAGGCCTTCCTGCGGCTGGACAGCCTCGGGGTGTGGAGCCAGGGCCAGGGAGCCTGGAGCCGCTTCCCCACCACTGGGCTGCCGAGAAATCGGGCTGGGTGGGAGGCCCTGGGCCAGCCTTGAGTGAGATGGTGCTGACCCCCCTCTACCAGGCGTGACCCCAGGTCTCTGCACCCGCAGGAGGATGTGGGGAGGCCCGGGGCCTGCACCAGGAGTCTGGGTGGCTCTTGGGCACCCTGGGCCTTCGGGCAGAGGCTCTGTGGGCACGCGGCAAGAAGCTGACTCAGAGCCAACACCCTGCCGCACACAAGTGAGAATGGGCCTGTCTGGGAAGCACCCTTTTTAATTTAATTTTGTTTTCTTTATTGAACTTAGAGAGAGAGGAAGGGAGAGGGAGAGAGAGATCGAAACCTTGATGACAGAGAACATCAATGAGACAGAACATCGATTGGCCGCCTCCTGCATGCCCCCCCCCTGGGGATCAGGCCCACAACCTGGGCATGTGCCCTGACAGGAATGGAACCTGCGACCTCTTCAGTCTGCACAGAGTGTTGCCCTGAGGCTGGGAGAGTGGGTGGGGAGAAAGGAAGTGGGGGAGGGATCCCCTGGGCTGTGGTGGGCTGACCTTTGTGGAGACTTCCTCACCCCTCCCCCACCTCCACCTGCCCTCCAGGGTCCGAGAGCAGCTCCAGAGTGTCCAGGCGCGGTGGACCAGTGTTCAGGAGAGTGGTCAGAGGAGGAGGCAGCTGCTGGCTTCCCTCCAGCTGCAGGTGTAGGGCCCACCCAGGTGCACGAGGCCTCCCTAGAGATGCCCGAGTCCGCTGCTGCACTGAGCACGGTGCACAGGCAGACACTCTGCAGTGCACAGCCCTTTCCCACCCTATGTCACGGCCCTCGCAGCACCCCTGTGGGACAGGTACTCTGCCTGCTCATCCCAGGTGAGGGCAACTGAGGCCGAAGCCACACTGCTCAGCGGCGGGGCTAGGCCCAAAGATTTGAATAATCCCTCACCCAGTGACTCCCTGCCCCCATCACTTCTGGCCACATGTTTCTGGCTCTCGGATGAGACAGGGGCACCAGCTGCAGACCGCGGCTCTGTCAGATATTTGTTCTGCCGCCCATAGGGGCTCAGAGCTGGGCCAGTCCACAGGCCTCCCGATGCTTGAGTCTGTTTGGAGAGAGGTGGCCACCTGTGATCGGAGGGGGGCCGGGGTAGTGGGGACTGACTGGTTCTCCTCGCTGGGCAGAGGGCACTGTGGGGCCCAGGTCCTGAATCCCATGGTCTCCTTCTCCTGTTTTCCCTGAGATATCTCCCTCCCAATCTGTTTCCCTGTCCGCACTTGGGACAGTAACCCAGACCCCCCTTCTCTGGCTCTGGGTCCTACTCATCCCACAGAGGTTCCTTAGCCCCCATCATAGAGGTCTGCACACCAGCCTTCCCCGTCAGTCCGTGAGACCCACTGTCTCCCAGTTCCTGGGCAGGGATGGAAGCAGAATGTGGCTGAACTGATGCTGTGGATGGAGGAGAAGGGGCTGATGGTGGTGGACGAGCCCTCCCGGGAGCCCGGCAACCTCCTGCGAAACTCAAGTAGCACGAAGCAGCTGAGCGCGAGCTGCTGGCCACCCAGGGGCACGTGGAGGGCCTGCGGCGGGTGGGGACCCTGGACAGAGGGTGCAGGGCCTCCTTGTCTCCACAGTCCCTGCCGAGCTGCAGGCATGTTTTCATGGAACATGCTCACTGACAGAAGCATCAACCTCAGTTACCTCCTTCACTCAGCTGGGCACCCCCTGGTCTGGGCCCCCAAACCAGCCCAGAAAACTTCCATTGTCCTTTCCCCTCAACTCTTTGGAGCAGCCCAGGACCTGCCTCCTCCACCTGAACAAAGCCCTTCTCTACCGTCAGCTGGATGGATGCCGCTCACCTTGTGCTGCTCGTGCATCCGAGGAGGCTCTCCCACCTCCGCCCACAGGCGTGGGGCCACGCGAACTGCTCGAATCCGTGCGGCTTCTTACCGGCCTCCCTCCCTCTGCCACCTGGGCCCAGCCTGCGGTGGCTGGTCATGGTGCCAGCAGCTCATCTAGACTCCCTGGGCCCTCGTGTCCGTGCAGGTTGGGACAAAGTCGTTGAGCAGTGGGCCCCTTGCTCAGGAGGGTGTGCCGGCCAGGCTTCGGGGCCTGAGTTCAAGTGGGAGGAGTTGAACCGCAAGATGGCAGAGCGTGGGAGCAGCTCCGCGGGCCAGGCAGCAGGACCAGCTCCCGGGCTGCTGCAGGTCCGCCGAAGAGAGGGGCAGGGCGCAGGAGGACACAGGCTAGGCTGGGAACAGGCAGGCAGGGTTGGGTGCGGGGAGAGGAGAAGTCTGGGTGTTTCATCGACTCTGGAGTGGTCCCGGGAAGTCCTGCCGCCTTTGGACGCCTCTGACCTACGGCAAGCGGAGCCTGGAGTTACCCACCAACAGGCCAATACGGGCTTGTCTCCCAGGTGCCCGGGGTGTGGTGAGTACCGTTTGAGTCCCCCAGGGAGGAAGATGCGTGAGGGGACAGGGGTGTTCATGAGGTTCTGGGGAAAGTTTGGCACTGCTGGTGGGGGGTGGAAATGTCAGGGCCAGAGGTCCCCAGTAGGTCCTTGGTGAACATGATGTGCTACAAGCACTCCGTCTTCGAGCCCAAGGGCCTTTGCCATCCTATATGTGGAGAGCTGGCTGCACCGTCATCCCTTCCCAGGACACAAGGAGAACAGAGGGCAGCTGAAGGGCCTGCGGAGTGCTCCAGCTGGGGCTGCAGAAACAGCACTGCCGATCGGAGGCGAGAGCCAGGCCCTGGCCTGCGAGGTGACTGCCCTCGTCTCCCAAGCCCCCCGGGTGGCCAGGTCCCAGCCCATCAGGAGACCCAACAGTGACTCCAGAGGCAACTCACCTGCTTGTTTTGTCTTCACCTTCACCCTGCGTACCGCAGGTGGCTCCTACAGGACCTGAGGTTGTCCAAATGCCCTTCCCTTATGAAAAGAGTTATCCCTGGGGTAAGAGGGTCAGAGACCCCAACTAGGCACCCCAAGCACCCCACAGTCTCTGAAGTCAGCTGGGTCACTTGGGTGGAAGGTTGGGCTCTGGGCCCTCGCCAGCTGCCTCCCTCCTCCCCATCAGATGAGACTTTCCCCCACACCCCACCTGGGCCGCTGGCGCCCGCAGCTACAGGCCTCAGTCGCTGTACCAGATCTGCCACCTGAGCTCTGCGGAGCTCACATGGGCAGCTGCGCACATGCCCAGTGCCGGCCCCACCAGGTGCTTGGATGATGCCCAGAGCCTTCGCCACATGCATGAGGTGACGACCCCTTTTTTCCCAGGATCGACGGCCTGTTCTGGGCCCTCGGAAGCCCTCTGCCACTACGCAGGTGTCTGATCTTCGTCTCCCCCCAGCTACCTTCTGCCTGGGGGTTTTGCCACAAATGGGGCCTGGAGCCCTATCTATGGCTCTGTTCTGGGCACCCTGTAGCTAAGGGATCTGAGACCGCATCCCCCGGGCTGTTCCGAGGCAGACTCCAGGTGGCGGTGAAAGCCCTCAGGGACAGGTGCTCCAGGGGTTGCGTTCTGGACGGAAGCTGGCAGCCTCCTGGCACCCCCAAGGGCAGCACCTGTGGACCAGTGCCAGGAGCTGGAAGGCCACTGGGCAGAGCTGAAGCAGGTGTGCGAGACCCAAGCCCAGGGCCTACAGCAGGCCAGGTGCAGAGAGCACAGGGTCAGGGGAAGTGGCCGGAGTCAGGCGGGCTCTGTGCGTGAGCTGTGCTGGGCCTGGGACTCTGGGAGGTGGGTCCGTGGGGAGAACCCTGGGCCAGGAGCTGGCTGGTCCCTGTGTGGCACAGAAGCCTCTTTGTACCGGCTGCTGGAGAGCGGGGCATGATGTCCCCGAGGGATGATGAAGGGCCTACGCTCCTCAAGGTGAGCTAGCGCTGTTCTTGGCAGTATTTTCTGGTTGCGTCAGGGCTTGAGGACGGGGTGGAGGAGTGGCCGCTGGTGAGCAGTCAGGACTACGGCGGAGACGAGGCAGCCACCACCAAGCTCGTTGGGAAGCACCAGGTGCCATGTCCTGAGCGTCCTCCACACATTCTGGGCTTGGGTGGTGACGGGCGTGAGGAAAGGGTCTGACGTATGCCTAAAGGGCACGTCCTACTGCATGGAAGATACGCCAGCCCTTCCCTGTCGCCCACCCAAGTCCTACAGGGCCCCTGCTCAGCCCCAGTGCTCCCGGTCCTCAGAGGCAGCCCCTGCGAAGGACCCTTCCCCTCAGTCCCTGTACTAGTCTACCCCAGGGCCTTGGGACTCCCCACCTTCTCGTCCTGCTCCCTCTCCTCCCCTGGCACCTTTCTGCTCTCGCAGTCGCCTGTTCTCGCCCTCTCCTCCTCTCCCAAGGGCTCTTCCTCCACACCGGAGTCTCATCCTCTCAGTTAAGGAAACGCCCTTCCTGAAACCTCCCCCCCCTCAGGCAACCCCTGATTCAGAGAGAGAGGCTGGAGCACCCCTCCTCCTTCCCGGGAAGGCTCTCGGGACCACACAAGCCCCCCAGTCTGAACTGAAGCAGCCCGGATCCCTGTCGTCATTGAACTGTCCTCTTGTCTGGTCATTCTCTCCTGCCTGGCCCTAGCGGTCGTGTTTTAGTCCTGTGACTGAGGACTTTCCACGAGCCACTCCTGAGGGACGTGCTCGTACCACCCTGGGCACCTTGCTGGACTCTGCCCTCCCCTTCCTGGGCTGCTGGGACCTAGTACAGTGCCTCCTGTGCCCTCTCCCTTGGCCCAGGTTACCCAGAATTACCCTTCCCAGAGCATGTCTTCACTTTTATGGAACAGTAAGAACACCTTAGGTCATGGGCAGGTGGGTGGCGGATGCCCGGGGGATGGGTGGGTGGGTGAGTGGCCAGATGAGTGAGTCGCCCCGTCAGCCTGGCATGGTCCTGTGTGCTGGCAGGCCCTGCGACAGGAGCTGGCTCTTTGTTGGAGCGCCATGGAGACGCCTGACCGGAGGGCCCACGTCCTCAGGGACCCCAGGCCCGGAGCAGCCGCTGGGGTGCAGAAGAGGCTCTGGGCGCGGCTTCGGGCGCTGCAGGACTGGGCCGCCCAGGGCGGGGGGCACTGTGCCCTCCGTTCCGTACCTCCACCCCGAGCCGGAAGGAACCCACGACCCCAGGCCCACGACCCCAGGCCCACGGAGATGTGTCAGATGAGTCCCCGCTGTGTGTTGCTTAGTTCTTTCCATAAATTCCTCAGTGATGGCCCGTGGGACAGGACCATGAACCCCCAGCTCCCGGCTCTTCGCCACATCTCCACATCTTTTCCCATCTCTCTTCCCGGCGTCCCCGTGTCCCCACGTCCCTCCCCCGCGTCCCCGCGTCTCTTCCCGATGTCCACACGTCTCTCCCCACGTCCCCACGTCTCTTCACATTTCCTCAACGTCCCCAGGTTTCTCTCCATGTCCCTACACCCCTTCCTGATGTCCCCACATCTCTCCTACACGTCCCTACTCTCTCCCCACGTCCTCACGTCTCTCCCCACGTCCCCAGGCCTCTCCCCCATGTCCCCAGGCCTCTCCCCCATGTCCTCACGTCTCTCCCCCATATCTCCACACTCACCTGCTCTACTCTGGCTTATGTTTACTTCTCCCTGGACCCAGAGTCACAGACTTGGACAGAGATTATAAATAACCTTCTTGAGGTTACCCCTCTGGCCAGGCTAGCTGTTCCCAGGGGCTTGGGCGGCTGACTTTTGGGGAAATGCAGGCTATCCTAATAGGGACCCCAAGCTGGAGGGGACCCTGACGCTACATGAGTTTATGAGGGAGCCGGGGAGCTGTAGGGCTGGCTGGCCGGCCAGGCACAGGAGAGAGCCTGGGAGAGGAACTTGCTCAGCAAAATGTTTTAGAGGCAATCGCAGATAATGCGCAAGGGCTCGATCCGAAACATTGGTTTGAGAGTTTCGGTCTTAGAATCTGGATTTTTACTGCTGTTGGTTGTTTTCTTGTTTGTGTTGGTCTCATCGTACTCCGAGGACTCTGGCGAATGGTGTCCTCTGTGTAGAAGACTGAAATGCAAGTAATGGTGCTCCTGACCACTCCAGCCGATTCCTCAATTACAAGAAAACAAAAAGGGGGCAGATGTAGGGATGGGGGTTTGGTGGATGAACAAAACGTAACCTTGTGATATGCATTCTCCTGGCCTTGCCAACCAAGAATTAAAGAATGTGTGTGGATAAATAAGGTTTGCCTGATGGGCGGGAAAACTGCCCTGTCTGAACTGATTGGATTGTTCACATGTGAATAGATTAGGTTCGCGTGTCAAAGGGCAGGAAAACTGCCCCGAAAGTGACAATGAGCAAGCAAGCCCAGGCGTGAATGGGTTTGTTATTTTATATCTCCTTGAATGTTTCTCCACTGAGAAAACAAGACATGGGGCTTGGCTGGATGGTCCGCAGAGACACCATCTCAAGGAAATAATGACCTAAAACAACATGTAACCTGGGGAACCACTTTGCAAATAAATTGGGCTGCACCCAGAGATCTGGAGCATTTGCTCCTTTGCAATGCCCCCTCACTCCAAGCGGTGTCCGTAGTTCACTGCAGTGTGCGGACCCCCGCACGCTGAGGGACAGCACACACCCATCAAGGAGGTAGGCCCCCTTTTTGGGTTTTCCCAGCCTCCCCTGACCTAGCCTGAGCCTGGCCTCCTTGTGCCCTCCCTGCTGTGCCATGGCACCCTCTCTGAGGCTTCCCTCGGATCCACCCCCTCAGCCATGTGGCTGCCCCTGTGCAAGCTCCCACTTGCCTGCCCCCAGGCCCAGGAAGGGCTGTGAGCCCCGCAGGACAGGCGGGAGCCCGTGTTTCAGGCCTGGGAGCAGAATCGGGAGAGGCTGCAGGCCACGCACCGGGAGCAGCTCTTCCTCAGAAAGAGTGGCCACCAGGACAAGGTCCTCCCAGCCCAGGAGCAGGTGCTTGCACCCCACAACACACACTCTTGCGCTCCTTCTCATTGTTTCTTCTCGTCCTCACTCCCTTGCTTCCCGGCGCTCTGGCTTTTCCCCTGACATGCAGCACAGATAGCTGCAGGTGGGGCTGTCTGCAGTCCCTGATGGCCTCTGTCTCTTTTCCATGGGCTGATTCAGGCCTCCCTGAAAACCAGTGCCCTGGGGAGCTCAGTGGAAGAGATGGAACAGTTGATCCGTAAGCATGAGACCTTCCAGAATGAGATGTAATGAGAGCCCAGGATGAGAAGGTAATGGGCTCAGGGCAGCCTGGGTTTGGTCAGAATTGATGGGGAAAGTAGGGAGTCTGGGAACTCTGGAGAGTCCTAAGTGATGGACACAGGGTACGTGGTGAGTAGCCAGAGGCAGTGTTGATGTGGGGGTGGTCTTTGGGGCTAGGAGTGCATGGTTGGGGCTGACTAAGCAGAGCTGAGCATGTGGCTCAAGAAGGAGGCCTTGGATGGGGTAGGCCACACTGCAGGCACAGGGAGTCCACTTGGCCCCTTATCATGGGGTCACTGGCTTCTGGCTTCCTGGGAGGATGAGCCAGCCCCAGGTCAGCCCCAGGCCACGCAGGCCTGAGGGAAGCCCTTCCCTGTGGGCCAGCCCCTGCTCCAGCCTCAACAGCATGGGAGAGCAGCCGATGGTGCCCACCCCCCTTTACAAAAGGCACCTCTGTGTGAGCAGCAGACACTCAGGGCCCCAGGGTACAAGACTTGCTCCACACAGGCTGGAGCGTCGGGCTTGAGTGAAAGAACTGGCTGAGACCGAAGACAGGCCCTGCACACCTCCCTGCTGGCGGCGGCTTCACCAGGGTCCCCACCCAGTGCCTCCTGTGTGGGCCACACTCTACAGTGTATATAACATTCACCTGGGCTCATTCAGCCTCCACCTGTAACGAGGACACAGGTTTACAGAGTTCAGTGGCTTTCCCAGAGGCCATGCGATAGCCCAGAATATTTGATCAAAGACCCTCTTTGTGTGAACCCCACTGCGTCCTCAGCCCTTGCAGTGCAAAGAGAAGTGGGGGAGAGAGCAGAGCAGTCCAGGGTGGGGAGCAGGTGAGCCTCGCCTCCAACACAAGGCCCTACCCAAGCCCTCTTTCTGTGGCTGGGGGTCAGCGGGGCTGGGGCAATCTTCCTGGGCTAGACCCATTGGTTCTCAGTCACCAGGCTCTGCCCCATCCTGCCCTCGGGGCCAGGAGTCAGCTACCTGAGTGGGACGTGTCTGGGGACAGAGGCAGCATCGGCATCATGGGGCGATGTCGCCACCCCACCAGGTGGAGGACTGGCCCCAGGAATGGGCTCAGCTTTTGGGAGAGCTGCTCTGAAAGATAAGTTGAGGCACCTGCAGAAACACCAGGCCTTCCAGGCTGAGGTACAGTTCCATGAGGAGGCCATCGTTTCTGCCACCGAGGTAACAGCCAGGCCCTCAACCCCAGCCCTGCCCCAAAGTTTGACTACAGGATGATCAATGGGAAAAGCCTTAGGCAGGAGGAAGGGCAACAGGCAAGACCTTCTGGGGTCCCTTCCTTCCCCAGCAGGCGAAACTCTCCCAGCACAGAGCCTCTCGGGCAGGAGAGGTCTCCAGGGGCTGCAGGAGGGCAGGAGAGGTCTCCAGGGGCTGCAGGAGGCAGGAGAGGTCTCCAGGGGCTGCAGGAGGGCAGGAGAGGTCTCCAGGGGCTGCAGGAGGGCAGGAGAGGTCTCCAGGGGCTGCAGGAGGGCAGGAGAGGTCTCCAGGGGCTGCAGGAGGGCAGGAGAGGTCTCCAGGGGCTGCAGGAGGGCAGGAGAGGTCTCCAGGGGCTGCAGGAGGGCAGGAGAGGTCTCCAGGGGCTGCAGGAGGGCAGGAGAGGTCTCCAGGGGCTGCAGGAGGGCAGGAGAGGTCTCCAGGGGCTGCAGGAGGCAGGAGAGGTCTCCAGGGGCTGCAGGAGGGCAGGAGAGGTCTCCAGGGGCTGCAGGAGGGCAGGAGAGGTCTCCAGGGGCTGCAGGCGCTGCAGGAGGGCAGGAGAGGTCTCCAGGGGCTGCAGGAGGGCAGGAGAGGTCTCCAGGGGCTGCAGGCGTTGCAGGAGCTCTGGGAGAAGCTGAGGCAGGCAGTGGCCCCGGGGCCAGGAGCTGGAGGACACGAGAACTTGCTGGAGTTCCTACACAGAGCGGACCTTCGTGAGACCTGGATCCAGGACATAGTGAGACCCAGCTGGGCAGGGGCAGATCTGGGGTGAGGCCATGTGGCTAAAAGATAGGGGAGCCCCAGGCCTGCAGCCCCCCAGTCCCCCGACAAGAGGGAGCCCCAGCAGTGAGGTGCCAGGGGCTGGATGCGCCAAGGCTCGGAGTGCTGCCCACCTGGTCCTCGGCCCCCACAGGAGGTGATGGTGGACACCGGTGGCCTGGGACAGGACCGTGAGCACTGCCTGCAGCTCCTCAAACAGGTCCAGGAGCTTCGAGGAGTCCGGGCCTGGGTACAGGGTCCTGCAGGGAACAGGTCGGCCAGCACATCCCCCAGGGGGAAATACATCTCAGAGTGCTGCCGGCATGGGCTCTGGCGTCAGGTGTGGGCTCCGGGGACAGCTCTGCGCTCCCTGCCTGTATGGCTTAGGCAGGCTTCCTTATCTCGCCGAGCCTTGGCTTCTTCATCTTGAAAATGGGGATGACACCTATCTCATAGGTAAAAGAGCATTTATGTGTGGTGGTAGTTACCTGAATCTGCATGTGTAACAAAACTGCACAGCACTATACCCCCACAGATGAGTGCTTGATGAGCTTTGAAGTCTAGTTAATAGACCAATGCTAGTGTTCTGGTTTGTTGTTGTTGTTTTAGGGAGGGGGGGGGAAGAGAGAGAGAGAAACATCGATGTGAGAGGAGAGAGACGCATCGACTGGTTGCCTCCTGCATGACCCCGATGAGGGCCAGGGATGAACTGCAACTGAGGTACGTGCCCTAGGCTGAAATCGAACCCATGACTCTTTGGTTCGTGGGCCGATGCTCTAACCGCTGAGCCAAACCGGCCGGGGCTAGTGTCTTGGTTTTCATACTGTACTATACAGTAGCTATGTAAGATGTTACCAATCAGAGGAAGCTAGGGGAAGAGTAATGGGCCTTTTCTATACTCCGTTTGCAATTTCCCATGCATCTATAATTGTTTCAAAATTGAAAATAAAAGAATGCACATGTGCCTGGAGGTAGTGGGTAATCAATAACCATCCTTCAGCATCTCCTCACTGCCCCCTACGCTCACCCCCAAACATCTATTTCTCTGTGTGGTGAAGGGGAGAGAAGCTGACCAGATGCATTTATAATCAGGCGTTAGCCTCGCCCCTGGTGTAAGTACACATGGCTTTTCAAAGGCCGCCAGCGAAGGTGCCCTTTGATGATGGTGGAATTTCACAGCCACGGTGCCAGCCAGACACTGGGGGAGCAGCAGCACTGGACTTGGGACCCACGTATGAGCCGTGTTAGCCTCCGAGTTCTGCTCGGCATCTCTGAAAGGAGAGAAACCCCTTCCCTGCTCACCTAATCTGAGGTACTTCATAGAGAAGAGCTTTGGAAATTTAATGAGCTCTACAAAAACAAGGGCTTTTACTGGCGGCAGGAAGCCTGCAGATCCTCCCTCCCCCGCGGTCAGGGCCCCTCCCCCTGCACCTGTCAGCCCCACCCTGCATCGAAGCTGCAGCAGCGTCAGTCCAGTGACTCCTTGAGGTGGCAACACCCAAGCTCATCATTTCATTCCATCCCTTGCTTTGTTTTTCTTATCTAAGAAGCTGCGTTTTAATTTTATTTATTTATTTATTTATTTGTTTGTTTGTTTGTTTGTAATCCTCACCCGAGGACATTTTCCGATATTTTGTTCAGATGGAGTGGGAGGGAGAGAGAGAAAGAAACATAGATGTGAAAGGGACACATCGAGTGGCTGCCACCCACACGACCCAACCAGGGCCGGGGACAAACTACAAGGGAGGCACGGTGCCCTTAGCGGGAACTGAACCCGGGTCTCTCCGGACCGCAGGCCGACGCTCTAACTGCTGAGCCAAACCGGCCCGAGCTGCATTTTAATTTTAAAAGCTTCTATTAATCAGTGCGTATCCACCCACCCCTTCCCGTGTGGTCCTGACTCCAGGAGCACACTTTTTTCTGGTCTCAGAGGTGACTCTGAGGCTCCAGGCTCCTCGTGTGTCCTGCTTATTGCATCTGGGATAGAATGGGACATGGGGGCCACAGCAGAGGAAGCGGCTGCCTCCACACCCCAGACAGCTGCTCCTCATGCCCTCTCGGGCCCAGGCAGACCCTCTCAGTGCCAACTGCAGTCCAAGGGGGGGCTCAGAGTGGGTGGGGCCAATGCACTCATTCTGCACCCCTGCAGGGCTCAGTGGATGGCATCTACATCAGGAGCATCAATGACTTGTCACTGCATCTCAAGAACCGGGACCCCGAGCAGGTCAAGACCATCTGCCAGTGGCAACACCAGCTCAACAGCAGGCCAGTCCCACGATGGGAAGGTGGGGCAGGAGAGGAGGCTGGAGGGCCACCTCCGACTCAGCCTCGCATCCTCTCTGCCAGGGTGGCACAGCTTCCGTGGCAACCGGCTCTAGTACCAGCGGCAGCTTGAAGATGCCCTGGAGATGCACACATTGGCCTGTGAGCTGGACGCTGTCCCTGAGCGGATCAGGGAGAAGGTAAGAGGTCAAAGAGCAAATGCAGCCCAGGGGTGAGCAAAGCCCCCATGGCCCTGCCCTTCACCCCTCTCTCCTCTTCAGCTGGGGTAACTTGGGGGCCTGTTGGGGGGCCCTAAGGATCATCTCTGCACTATAGAAGCTCCCACTGCAGTCTTGGAGGCTAGCCTACCTGGATCCCCTCACCCCCAGAGCCCTGAGAGTCCAGAGGCCAGACCCCCGCCGCAGTGTTTCCTCTGTTGTCCCTGAGCAAGGTCAGAACTGCAGCGTTCGCCTCCGGCCGGGCTGTCCACGCGGGTCCCCACAAAGGAATGAGGGGCAACCGCCTGTGGATATGGAAGCACCTCACATGGAAGCAGCCTGCCTCAGAGGAAACCCCCACCCAAGTCTCTCCTCAGAACCTTCCTCCTTCACAAAAAGAAGGGGCCTCTGGTCAGGGTGGCGCCCCGCTCCAGCCCCACGGAGGGCCCTGGGAAGGGATCAGGCTGGGTGCTTGCTTTCTACCCAGAAACCCTGCAGCCAGTGACCCCTCGGCAGTGAGGGAGGGGCTGGAGAAAGGCCAAGCCGCTATCTCCCCGCCCGCCCAGGCCAGCCTGGTCCGGGCCCTGGGCTGCGCGCGTGCAGAGGCTGCTGTGGAAACGCGAGAAGTTGGAGCAGGAAATGGGCCTCATCCAGGCCCAGGTGGAGGCGTGCAGCTAGGTGTGGAGGTGGCCCGGTTCCTCCTCTGTGGGGCCCCGTGGACAGTGGCTGCAGCTCTGGAGCAGGGCCCAGAAGTGGCACGAACCTTCCGTGCCCTTGCTGACCCATCGTTCAGTCCTCACACGTCCCTTCGGCCCCAGTTTTCCCCTCAGACTCTCTGTCCTTCAAACAACTGTCTGCGTTGTCACCCCATTTCTCCCCAGCCCCTGGGCCCTCCTTTGGCTGAGGGGCTGCAGGGACGGAGGCACTGGTGGGCTCAGGGGCAAAGAGGGATGTGCAGGACTAGCTGATGGACCCCGTGGGCAGGAGGGAGTCGCTGGATGCCTGGCGCCAAGCTCAGAAACCGCGGCACCGCCGCAGGAATTGCTGGTCTGGGCCCAGCGGCTGCGGGCTGAGATGGATGCCCAAAGCCCCGCAGAGGCCTGGCGCATGCTGGAGGAGCACCAGGGGCGAAAGGTGAGCTGTCCAGACCCGGACCTTTCCTGGGATCCCGCTTCCTCTCTACCCTGTCCCTTACTGTGATCCCAACTTTCTCGTGGGTCCTTCTCTGTCACCTGCCTCTGCCTTTCTCTCCCATTCCACCCCCTCAGCTGTCTCCCCACTTCTCCTCCTTCCCACCGGGCCTCCTCCAGCCCCAAAGCCCAGCCTCTGGGATCCGAGTCCAGTCCTGTTACAGGCTGAGCTGGACTCCTGGACAGACAGCATAAGCCTGGCCCAGAGCACGAGGCGGTGACTGCTTGGCTTAGACCCTGGCTGGCTTAGACCAGGAGCTGGACAGCCTGGGAGGGAGCCGGCGGAGCACCAGTGCCGCTGAGCAGGCTTTGGAGCTACAGGGGGGCAGCCTCATGCTGCCCCCACCCACTGGGCCTGCACTAACCCCAACAGCCCTGTCAAAGCCAAAGCCAGAGAGGCTGCTGTGCCAGGCCTCTTCCCGCCACCTACCGTCCAGCCTGCCCACGTCGTGCCTGCCGTGGACTCATTCTGTTGAGCCAGGCCCCAGGTCCCTGTTTTCTCCACTGGGCCACCAACAGGTTCATGCCACCACCTCCTCTTGCCTTTTCCTTGCTCAACAGCTTTTTCTGCGCTCTGTGGAGCAGACGGGAAGTTGGCTCCGCAGCCGGAAGCGGCTGTCAGTGAGGGTCTGGGGCAGGTGCCCGCAGCGGGGAGGGCTCAGACCAGCCAGTGCTGCCTGAGCCCCCGGCCAAGGGGTCTCCCTACCTCAGGCACACCCACCACTGAGCCGTCACCGAGCCCGTCCCTGTGAGCAGTTCAGCTGGGGCTCAGAGGGTGTGCGTGGCCCTCCACCCATTCTTGCCTTCTTCCCACCACCCTCCTCACCTGCTTACACCCAGAGTTTGCTTTCCAACACTGTCCCAACCCTGTGGCAGGCGAGCCTGACTCATGGGAAACCTGGGAGGACAGTCGGGGCAGCCCGTCCTGTGCGGAGGTGTCCTCCCCGGGAGTGCGGAGGGAGGCGTCCCTGTCAGGTGGAAAGCCCCACCTGCCCTGGACATTCTGACACAAACCTCGTCCCTCAGCACCTTCCCTGGCTGAGACTCGGCCCTGCGGCCAAATGCAGCCTCGAGGTGCTGGGGTGGGTTTGAGCAGAGCGCTCACCGTGAGTGCGATGTAGGTGGGCACGCAGGTAGCTTAGGATGGGGTGGGCCTGCCCCATGGACAGTATCCCTGCTCCCACCAGGACCCCTTGGCCGATGCAGAGACCCTCTGGACTGGGACCTGGAGGCACAGGCGGGAAGGATCAGCGCACTGGGAGCCACAGCCCACAGCGGGCTGGACACCCCGAGGCCGAGTGCTCTAGCCCAGTGCCAGGCCCTGGTCCTCAGGGACGCCTGGCTCTGGGCTAAGGGGAGTTGTGGGTGGGCCTGCGTGGGCAAGGGGCATCCTGCTTCCTTTCCTGCCCTCTGCCTCTTGGCCCCGGCTCCCCAGCCTTTTCCAAAGGCTGCAGTCGGGTGCCAGGGCCCCACCACCCCCAGCCCTGCAGCGAGCTGGCCCATTGCAGATGCCAAGCAGCACATGGACATTTGGCTGAGATGGGGGAGCTTTACAAGGACACATATACTGGGAAACAGAGAGAAACAACCTCACGGGACGACGGTACCGGAGTGCAGTGGCCAAGCCTCCGGCCTCGGGAGCTGCCCACTCGTGGGGGGCTTGCAGCAGATCCCTCATGGAGTCTACAAGCAGACCAACACTTGCCTCTTGGGCTGCGTGAGGATTGCAAAGGCAGCCTCAGTCTTAGTAAGGTGCCCGGCACTTGGGTCGGCTGACAGATTTTTATACTCATTTAAATGAAACTAACACAGTGTACAAAACACCGGGTTCCATCTGTATTTCCTCACAAAAGCCCAGCTGGTTCAGCCGCCTTGTCCAGCTCCTCAGACTTCCAGATCAAGGTGGATCTTGGCCCGAAGCTGGACCCCAAACTGGCAGGGTGTCCATCCTGAGGGAGCCCACCAGGGCCCATAGTGTTTGTGAAGCCTGGTACTGGTGCTCTGGCAGGGACAGGGTGAGCCAGCCTCTCCTCCCTGCAGGTGGACCCGAGGACCCTGGAGGAGGGGAAATTTGATTGATGGCAAACATTGGTTTGCTGGTCTCTGTCAACACCCTCTGCACAGCCACGTCAGAAGGGTCCTGGCAGGCCCAGCTGTCCCCACAGGACAGTGCCACCCCGGCCCCTCCCCTCCCAGGCTTCCAGCATTCTCTCAGCAGGGGGAGACAGAGGTTAGTGCACCAGCGGTGGGGCGCTGCACCCAGGGTGGGTGGGGGGGTTAAAACTGCTTTTCCTGTTTTATGATCTAACTTTTTTTGCGCACATGACAGTGTACTTAAGATATTGGCATGGCCCTGGTCGGTTTGGCTCAGCGGTTAGAGCGTCAGCCTGCGGTCCAGAGAGACCCGGGTTCGGTTCCCACTAAGGGCATGTACCTCGGTTGCAGTTTGTCCTTGGCCCTGGTTGGTCGTGCAGGTGGCAGCCACTGGATGTGTCCCTTTCACATCGATGTTTCTCTCTCTCTCTCTCTCTTCCTCTCCCTCCCACTCTATCTGAACAAAAAATGGAAAAGTTTCCTCGGGTAAGGATAAAAAAAAAAAGATATTGGTATGGAGGTACATACATATATAAATCTATAGCTAGATACATGCGCACACACACACAAATACATATATATTTGGGAGGTGCCCACTCAAAAATTCTTACTGAGAGCAGTTCGTGATCAAAGGTGGTTCAGACTGTACTAGTCAGCTCGGGCTGCCGTAACAAAACACCAGACTGGGTGGCTTAAACAAGACATTTATTTTCTCACAGTTCTGGAGGCTGAAAGTCCTAGACCGAGACTTTTTGGCAGGGTTGGTTTCTCCTGAGGTCCCTGTCCTTGGCTTACCGAGGACTGTCTTCACCCTGTCTGTCTTCACATAGTCGTCCCTCTATGTGTTTCTGTGTCTTCATCTCTTCTTCTAAGAACACCAGTCATATTGTATTATGACCTCATTTTAACTTAATTACCTCTTTCTTAAAGACCCTTTCTCCAAATAGAGTCGCATTCTGAGGTTCTGGGCAGTAAGGATCTGGGGAGTGGGGGTGGGAGGCACAGTTGAGCCCACAAGGAAGAGAGGAGACAGAATGTCCCTCCCCTTCAGAGGAGTCCCCAGATGCAGGGTATACTGATACCAGGAAAGGCTGTCCTTGGCTGGCGGGGCGCCCATCTGCACCCATGTGCATGTGCACACCCCCGTAGCAACTCCAGGTCCTGGTGGGCGGACCTGCCGGCACGAGACCCCCCTCGGGCAGGGAGGAGGCACTTCCAGAGTGAGCCCAGACCCCTCATCGCCAACCGGAGGAGCTCCAGCAGCTAGACTCTCCTGCAGGATTCCGAGGTTCCCCTGGGCTGGGGTGGGGAGTGGTTGCCCCAGAGAGGGCAGCCCAGAGGTTAGGGGGCGGGAGAGCCCTGGGCAGAAGCCTGGTCCTCCCTGTGCACCCAGGTGGCCACAAGGCTCAGGGAAGAACCTGGTGGCCCTGGAGGAGGGCTGCGGGGCCGAGCCCTGCGCAGACGCAGCTGTGGAAGCAGCAGGATCTGCAGGCCGAAGGCGGCGGAGGGCAAGGCCGGGGCCTGAGGGGGGCGCCAGGGACAGCCCGGCAGGCCAGAGCAGGAGGCGACTCCAGAGCCCCGGCCGGCGCCCTGGGTCACCGCAGTGGACAGCCCACGCTCGGAGTGCGTTCCGTGTGCGGGCACCGTGCTACTGCCCAAGGGGAGTGAGGGGCAGCAGCTTCCCTGGGCCCTCTCTCCCAAAATGATGTCTTTTCAACAATTTTAAAGGTAGTGTTTCTACATGATAGTTTTTAAAATTGTCTTAGAAAAATATTAGAAGACACGGCACAGCTGCAGTCCTGGAGTCAAAGTGTAGCCTCTAAATTTACCCTGAACCTGGGCTGGCTCCCTCTGATATAAAGTTCCTTGCTAAGTATTTTAGATGTTTTATTTCATCTAAACAAAATAACCATTATCATCTCAATGAAATGGATAAGGCAAATGAGTTCGGAGAGGCTAAGGAACTTGCCCAAGACCACCCAGCCAGCACAGACCCGACCACGGTGGTGGAGCCGACACAGGTGCCCTGGCAGTAGTCCATCGCGTGGCTGTAGGAGGGACAGAGGCTGCTGCAGACCTTCAGTGCGAGTGGGTGGAGTAACCCCCACGTTTCAGACCCCTGCTCACTCTCAGTAGCAACAGTAAGTCAGGGTCTCAAGGCTCTTTCTCCAGATTCCATGGCTGCCCCCCACCCTCCTCACTGAGGGAGATGCACCGACAACCCCCCATGGCCCTTGGAGCTCCCGCAGACGGCTGGCCCTGCAGAGGAAACTCCACAAGGCGCCCACCGCCTCTCCTGCTCAGGCCAGACCCGAGGTAAGGGACACCCTCATGCTAGAAAACTCGCCAGGCTGTCCACCCCTCCTCTCCAAGACAGAGCACTGTCTGCAGGACAGCCAGACTCCTCCTGCACCCTTGCCCTTGTCCCTGCTCCAGGGGACAGGGAGTCAGGATGTCCCCCAGACCACACAGATTCACACAGTTACAAAGACACGCACAACCAGAGGAGCGCTCACATCGAGGCGGGTGGCAGCCACGAGTCGCTGGTAAATTTTCCACTCACACTCCTCCTGCGGGACCCAGATTCCAATGTATGGTCCAAGTGATGGGTGGCTGAGTGAATGGCCTTGTCCTGGACACAGTGGCTTCCAAGGCTACTAAGGCAGCCACTTCCGCTCTGTGACTCTAGCCACATGCCCAGGACAGGGACTGAAGTCGCTGGGCCGAGGCAGACAGATGCAGTGAGAACCAACCATCTCCATCCACCTCACACACCAGTCACTCCTGCAGCTGCCTGTTGGCTCCGTTTCCATATCCCATGTGGACGTCAGGAGGAGGTAGGGTGTCCCCGGGGAAGCCTGGGGCACGAGTGTGTGGAGAAGATTCTGGGGTCACTAGGTCCTAAATTCACTCTGCCTCCTTGTTCCCTCCACAGGTCCCGGCCCTGAAGCAAACCCTGAGGTACCACCAAACCTCAAGGCTACATGTGAGGACACCCCCCAGGTGTCCTACTGACTTTGGGCATACACGGTTGCTTGTTAAGAGAGGGGAGCCCCACAAGGTCACAGATTGGTCAAGCTATGCTAGTCTCTTTCTTTGACGCATCTGGTTCAGATCTGGCCATCCCTACTGTGGGACAGGAAGTAGCCCTTGACTGAATTCCTGGCCACACCCCAAGGTCCCTGACCAGGAGAGGAAGGGGTGCCGGCCGTCATCGCCTGCAAGTCGACTCACCTGGCCAGGGCTGCAGCAGAGACTCACCCCCACCCACCCAAACCTCCTCCTGCCTGCTTAGACAGGTGCCAGGAGCAGATGACCCACGTCTTGGTAAGCCCATGCTGACTCGCGAGCTTCGTGAGACACTTTGTTTCTTAAACCAGTCCTTGCAACCCAAGCCTGGAATAACATGTCCCTTCTTGGCAACAACGACCGCCTCAGAAAATGCCTTATGTGTGTAAGAGCCTCTGTCATATATAAAGTGCTCTATTTTTCACTGTACAACTATGCAAGGGGGGGAGACCAGACACAGGCCACAGGGCTTTAAGTCCCCCCCCCCTTTTTTCCTTGATTTTTTTGAGAGAGAGAGGACGGGAGAGAGAGAGATAGAAACATCAATGAGAGAGAACACTGATTGGCCATCTCCTGCATGCCCCCACTGGGGATCGAGCCCACCACCTGGGCATGTGCCCTGACCCGGAATCAAACCAGTGACCTCTTGGTGCATGGGTCATGCTCAACCACTGAGCCTGACACAAACATGGTCAGTGCTGTGCTGGGCTCCCCCAGCTCTACCCCCGGGGGACACAGGCTCTGAATCTTCTCCTTACTCAGACGGAAGCCTTCTCTGGGCGGCAGCATGGGGACCAGGCTCCAGCCCGTTTAGAAGGCTCGACGTACCCGGAGGTGTCTGTGGCAGGCTTGCGGGGAATTCAGTGCCATGTCTGGGTGTACTGGGTACACGCAATGGTGGAGCCCCCAGTGGGGCCACCCGCACCCCCCAAGGTCCTGGAATAGCTGTTGATGATGTTCTCTGCCCCGACTGAGCCAGAGCAGCCGGACAGATGGAGGGTGGGCCGGGTGGGAGCCCAGGCCAGGGGGCCGCCATCACTGGGGCCTGTGCCGCCGCCGCCGCCGCCGCACAGCCTCACGCAGGGCCCCCAGCAGCTGCTCCCGGTTGTTGCAGATGTTGTAATGCGTCAGGTGGAGCAGCTTGTCCACGTCCTCCTGGCTGTAGGTCACCTTCGAGTAGTGGTACGGGGAGTTGGATGAAGACAGGTTCACCTCCCCAGCCTCCTTCTCCTCAGCTGTCCGGCGGACTCCTAGTGGGAAAGAGTGCAGCCAGGCACGAGGGGACGCACTGGGGCTGGAGGGGTTGGGGTCACCTTGGGAGAGGCATAAAGGATGGAAGAGGGGGGATGAGGGATGGCCCAGGGCACCAGGAGGTGGAGGGGCTGGGCGCTCACCAGGGGCTGAGTGCTCCCGGAAGGAGTCGTTGACCAGGGGGAAGTGCAGCACGGCCGGGGCCTCAGGGCAGCCGGGGTCTGAGAACAGGTGGCACTCGCGAGGCTGGCGCTGTTCCTCAGGGCTGGGCGAGACGGGTGGGAACGGGATCCCCTGCTCCTGGCAGAACCGACCGAGGAGCTGCAGCTGCTGCAGGGCGGGCAGAAGTGGCATCAGGGAGACGGGCCCACAGGGCTCCCCAGAGTCCTCAACAGCAGGCTGGCTGAACGCGGAGGTCTGCTCACACACGGGCAGCGCCCGGAGGACACTCAGACCCCAGCAGGCCCAGCAGAGCCAGGCTGGACTCGGAAACACGTGCTAACAATGCCAGGTTCTGCAACTGGGAGACACAAAGCAGGGGCCCCAGAGGTCCCGAACCAATCGGGGGCATGGGTGCAATCAAGGGGACCAAAATATAAAGGACATTTAAACAGTTCCCCCATCACTCCAACTTCCTGAGCAGAGTGAGTTCCCTTGGTTGTGGAGTCTACGAACTGTTTCCCATTCACGGGGTGTCACTGTCACAGCCCCTAAGGAAAGTAGGCCGGATAACGACTCCAGAGCAGACCAGCGAGAGACATAAGCCAGGATGTCGGGCCAGGCCCAGGGCTGCCCACCACCTCCCAAGCCTGCCCGCAGTCCACCTGAAAGGCTCCATGGAGGTTGTAATCCAGCGACAGGATGAGGTCCACGTCCCGTGTGGGCCGCAGGAGTGGGGGACAGCTGGTGTTGACAAGGTAGCCAACATCCAGCAGGCAGAGGTAGGGCTCTGCAGGCGTTAGCTGGTTGGGGAGCCCGTCCAGCTTGGTGGCTAGAAGGGTTGGGAAGATGGGGTGAAGTAGCTGTCACAGGTGCTCAGGGCACCAGCCCCTGGGGTCTAGTGCCAGCTCCTTGGCGCTGGTAGGAGACGCGGCCCTCTGGCCCTGCCCTCACCGAGGCAGCACCTCCACTTCCCGAGACCCTGAGGTGGGCCCTGATCCCTAACAGCAGAGAGACAAGGGCTCTCGCTCCAGCAGCCCAGGAAACTGAGCTCAAAGGGCATGAGGATGCGGTGTCAGAGTGTGTGTGCCTGGACCAAGGACCCAAGGCTCAGGCGGCCATGGGATGGCTCTGGAAAGCTGAGATCAGGGAAAAGCAGATACCTTTCCAGGTGGAGAAGTGAGGATGCTGGAAATAGTCCTTGTGGAAATGGAGGCCGTACAGGAAATTGTGGGTGGCCTGGGCAAGCGGGCGCCGCGTCAGGAGGTCAGTGAAAAACTCGGCTATTCTGCCGGCCACCGTGGGAGGCTCTTCTATCTTCAGAAGGGGAACCTGCTCCTTGTCTGCAGTCGAGAGGGGAGGAAATGGGGTGTCTTTCAGGAAATGGGTACTCCTGGGCCCTTATCCCAGCCTCTGTGGACTCCCAGAGGCCTGAGAGTCCACGTTTCCCCAAATACTGCCCCCCGGCTCCCACCACACCCTCACGAGGAGTCCAGGCACCTACCCAGGCTGGCCTGATCCTGTGCCCAGCGGTCCCAGAACTGGCTGGGCTCTGAGGACCAGTACAAGCTGTCCTGGAGATTGGCTGCATACAGGTTGCTCCAGATACCTGAGACAGGGGACACGTGGGAAAGAACCCCCACCCCATCACACCCTGACCCTTCCCCCAAGGCCTGTCCTGGACCAAGAAACCTTTCAGTGACTAAACTGGGAAGTCGAGACCCACCACCTCCCCTAGACCCATTCTCCCCACTGCCCCAGCTTCTCCAGCCTCCAACCCCCTCACCTTCCAGGAAGCAGATGCGAGACTCAGGCAGCTGCTTCATCAGGCGTCCCATGAAGAACTCAGAGCCAAAGAGCTCGGAGGGGATGAAGGCCCCGTACTTGGGAAAGCCGACCTCGTAGGGGGAGAATTCGCACCACTCTGTGAGAAGGCCACACGCCTCACTATGGGCCCAGGACCTGAGGACCCTCAGCACCAAGGCAGCCACCACAGCTTCACGTCAGGGCCGCCTAGTGACCAAGAGGCTCAGCCTTATTGCTGGCACTCTGGGCATGAGACCTAAGGCCCCTGTCCCCATCCCAAAGCCTGAATGAGCCTCTGGAAAGCACAGGGCCTGGCCCAGAAGAGGTGGGTAGAACACACACCTCCCACACAGGCTCAGCCACCCTGCCAATCATGAAAGCATGGGTCTCAGCTCCAGGCTACTCACCTCCAAATTCAAAGGTAGTCAGGTTCTTCCCTTTGGTGTTGAGGGCACAGTAGATGGGCAGAGGATTCTGGCCGTGACTCAGGGCCTCCCGCTGGTCTGAGAGTTTGTGGTCATGGGGCTGGGGGCGTGGGGGAGATGATTAGAACCTGAAGCCAGTTTGCTGGTGCCTGAGGCCTTTCCCACCCGCTGCCCAGGGTTGCTCCCATCTCCAGTTGGCTCCCCAGGCTGCACCCTCCCCACACCTCATCACGCAGCAGTGCCTCATTGACGAGGGCCCACAGGTTGGTGAAGCAGGCCGGGTAGCCCAGGCGGGCACGCTCAGCCAGCTCCTGCCGGTACCGCTGCAGCTGGCTGGGGGCCAGCACGCCTAGTTTGCTCTTGGTCACCTGGGTCTTCAGCAACTCAGTGGGCTTTGCCAGGTCCTTCTGAGACCACTCAGGGTCCTCGTAGAGGTTGGCCAAAGCCCTGGGAAAAGTCAAAGCCAGAGGGACCTGCTGCATACCTTGGTCTCTATTCTAGGACAGCAGCCTGGCAGGCACCTTCCCAGCCCCCGAGCACATTTCTCCCTGGCACACACCCTCTCTCTGCCCTTCCATTTGCTCAGAGGCCTATGTGGTCTAAGCCAACCCGACCAGCCACCCAGGCGTCTGCACTCAACCTGCCGCCAGCTCACCAGGTGGATCCCGAGGCCCCTGTGATATAGGAGACGCAATCCAGGAGGCCCAGCTCCCTCAGGCCGGCCAGCTGCCCATACAGGGAAGTCATCGCCCGGATCCCACCGCCGGTGGCCATTATAGCTATCACTGGGATCTGAAAGAAGACAGCAGGCTGAGAGGGCTTGGGGAGGGGGAGCCGAGCCACAGGAAGAGCAGGTAGTAAGCCAAGTGGCCACTCAGCCCACCCACAGCTAAGGCTGCTCGGAATCTAATCAGGGCTCTTGGGCCCAGATCCAGTCGGGCCTGCTGAAGAGGGTCTAGTCAGAGTAAGTAGCCTCTTGAGGGCCAGATTTGTCTTATTTTAAGAACTCCAGGGAAAACAGACCAGAATAATTCCAGGCCTCATCTCCTCATCTCTAGCCCCTGAGTAGTCTGGTGGGCTTTCTGGGAGCCCCAGGGCCCCCTCCGAAGTTTCCCATGTAGCCACCCCCTCCCTCTTGCAAGGAGAGGTCATCTCCCCAGAAGATGCCCAGGCTAATCTGAACCTCCAGGGACCGTCCCAGGCCAGCAGGCAGCCCTCAGACTATGTCTCACTGATCAGTCAGACCAGGCCCAGTCTCACAGCTTGGACAGGCCAAGGATCAAGAAACAAGAAGGAAAGCTAGCCCAGTGGGGTAGTTTGCAATATCCAAGTGTCTCAAGCAGTGCTCCAAATCTGATGTGGTCAAGCTCTTGGGAACACTGAGAGAGAGGGCAGTGAGCAGGGGCAGGCAGAGCCCGGCTCGGCAGCTGCTCTGGTTTGGTCGGGGCACAGCCAGCTCCAGCATTCAGCACCGGGCTCTGGGCCTGAGCGAGCCGAGCATGCCTGCCGCACCCAGCCCAGCCCAGACCTCGTCCTCCTGCAGGTCTCCATCCAGCTGCAGGGCCTGCTTCAGGGCCTTGGCCACCACCTGCTTCCTCTTGCTCAGGAAAGCTCTCTCCTCGGCACAGGGCCCGCAGCCCAGCCGCACGGCCAGCTCCTTGGGTCTGTGTGGACAGAAAGGGACCATGAGGCAGCTCCTGGGCCTCATCAAAGAAAGGAAGGGGGTCTGCTTCCCTGAAGAGCTCACTGCCATCTCCTCTCCTCTCTTCTCCCCAACCCTCACCTCCCCCCAAGTCCTGAGAGGTGTGACACACGAGGGTGTGAGGGCAGAGGGGAACCAGGCCCGTGTGGGACACACAGGCTGCAGCAAAGCCACTTTACAGGTCCAGGAACACTGGTGACTACAGACAGGCCCCTGGCAGGGACCCAGCACCACAGATCACTTCCACCTCTCGACTCCTCTCCCTCACCCACCCAAAGCGACTACAGAGAGGATGGGACCAGTGTCCCCACCTCTTTGCGGCAGCAGCTGGTCTGCCAGGCCAGTGGAGGGCCAGGGCCCGCAACTCCTCGTCTCGTGAAGGTTCACTAAGGTCCACCCACAGAAACCACCATCCGAAGTGGCGAGATTTCTCTCCTGTTCCTTGCCCTCTCTGTGCCTCAAACCACTCTCCTCACCTTCCACCCGTTTTCCAGCCAAATGTTTATCAAGTGCCTCCCAAGTGCCAGGCTTGGAGCTCGGCACACACCCCTCCGCCTAAAGCAGAAATGCAAGTCAAGTGGGAAAAGGAGCCTTTATGTGCCGAGGCTCCCGGACATCACGCTCCTGGGAGCAAACCGGAGCATCGAAGAGAAGATTCCAGGGGGCTGTGCTGGGAGCCACCCCCCTCTCCCTTTCTCCAGGCCTAGTGCCTGACCATCGGCCACCGTCCCTGACTGCCTCCCCCGCGACCTCTCCCAGGCCCCGCCCGGTCTCTCACCCTTTTTCTTTATTCAGCTCCACCCTCATCAGAGGCTCCTGAAAACATGAATGTTCCAGTCACAAAGGTGGGCCACCCTGCTCCTCTCATCCCAGCCTGAGCCACACCCCGCAATGTCCCCATGCTCCCTTGGGCCCCCAGCCGTCCCCACAGGGGCCGGGCCTGACACCTGGAGACAGGATTGCTCAGAGGACCCCCCAGAGCCTGGCCCAGCACTCTCTGGGGCACAGCCTGAGGCGAGCTGCTGCTGAAGTAGGCCAGCCCTTCGAGGCCTGCGCCCAGCCCTGCCTGTGCAACGGCTTTCTCCCCGCGGTGACAGTACCTGGGACGTCGGGAAGACGAGCCTCACCACTTGGCCAGAGGGCAGGGCCCTCAGGGGCACCTTCAGTTGCTCCTGGGGGGCATCCTACAGCGGCAATGGAAGAAGAACTAAGAATCTCTGCAAGGACCTCACCAGGAGTGACAGAGCAGCAGCAGGAAGGGGACACAGGCCAACATCAGCCCCACACTCTTCCCAGGTGCCTGACTCCGCCAGCGCGGGGCAGGTGAGTGAAGGACAGCCTGGAGGAGGTGCTGAGGAGGGAGGCTCTGTGGGCCCCTCGCGGAGCGAGGGCACCGTACCTGCAGGCCGACGCTCAGCTCCTGCTCCCAGCAAGCCGGGCAATGGAAGCAGGAGGCAGCGCCCACGGAGGCCTCCTGTGCACCCTCATAGGACCCGGGAACCGCAAGCTGAACTCTGCCCTCTGCCCCTGGAAACAGGAACCAGAGCGGAGAGGCTGGGAATAGGATCTTGGCCCACAGAGGCTCTCGTTTTGCCTAAAGGACTTGGGGACACTTCCCTCCCCCCACTGAGGCGGACGTCTGGCCCAGGACGAGGCTGGAGATGGAATGCCCCTCCACAGCCCCCTGAGGACCAAGGGGAAAAGCCCCCGCATGGATTTGCGCCCCCACCCCTGCTCCTGCCTAAGAGTGAGGGACCCCTCCACGTTCCCCTTAGAAAGGGGAAGACGGGAGCTGAGGGCTATCCCAGGCGTTCAGGGACTCACCCTTCTGGTCCCCAGCCTCCTCCAGTCGAACATGCAAGCAGGAGAGCTCCCGGGCCTGCCATTAAGGGAGCCCCTCAGACGTGAGCCCCTCCCAACAGAGGCGACCGCCCTCCCAGCACCCTAGTTCTTGCTCCTCAGCACTTTATTGCCTTGGCCTGAGTCACCAAACATTTCCGGAAGTTGTATCCTCTTGAAGAACTGAAATCCCAGGGTCCCCAACTCAGCTCTGCCCCCCAACCCCATGGTGGGCCTGAAGCTTGGGGAGGAGGACAAGCAGACGGCTCGAGGGAGGGGTTCCAGACTCACCACCAGGATGCCATTGCTGACGAGCTGCTCAGTACAGTCTGTCCTGAAAAGAGCCCCCAGTGACCCTAAGCAGGAGTCCAGGTTCCAGGTGCTCACCCCCAAGGAGGCCCGGGCACTCCCCTCTACCACCGGATGTCTGGGGGTCTGGGTGCGCTGCGCCCTGTCCTTCCCAGAAGGAAGCACTCCCACCTGGGAACTGTCCCATGGCCCGACTCACAGATTCTGCAGACGAAATTCAACTTCCAGCTGCACCTCACCCTGGAAAAGGAAAGCAGCAAGTTAGAAGGGGGAGGCAGGGGGAGGAAAAAGTGAGGGTGTGGGGAGAGCAGATTCCAACCCAGACGCCAGCGGGGGCTGCTGGGACGCCAGTGGTGCATCACCAGGCTGCTCTGTCCACCTCTCTGGTCTGCCCCAAAAAAGCTGCCCTGGGCTGTGTCAAGAAAGAGGGTTGGGGACAGAACTGCAGTCTCAGGGGGCGGTAGCTACCACAGAAGAAGGCCGCAGGTGCTCAGCCGCCCTCCCAAGCATCTCCCTCCCCAGCGCGGAGGCCCGGCCCGGCCCTGGACGTGGCCTTGCCTGAGCGCTTCCGGGAAAGCTTTCGCGGCGGAATTCCCCAATCCGCAAAGTCCCCACGTCATAGAGCACCGACAGCATGGGGTCGTCACTGGTCAGAAGGTCCCGGTCGAAGACCTGCAGCTGTACGACGTTCTGGAAGGGGAAGAGTGAGGGGCTGCAGGAAGGAGGGTGGGACAGGAAGGCACGTGGGGCCGGGCCGGGAGGGGCGGTGGCAGTGGGCAGGGACAGCAAGGACAGGGCTGGCTCCTGGCCCACCTTGAGCTGGCTGTGGATTCGGAAGCGAAAGCTCTGGTTCCAGACGGGGTTTCTGCTGTTCTTCACTGTGTGTGTCTGGAGCCTGTGGCTGGAGGCCGTGGGCAGCCACAGGGTCACATAACAGTCAGAGGGGGTCACTGTGGGAAGGAGGGACGAGCACCCGGTGATTGCCAAGAGCCCTTCCCAGCCTGGCCACCCACAGTCCATGTCCTTCCCTCGCAGGCAGCCCCGAAAGACCCAGAGACCTTAAGGAATGGGGCTGGGTCAGGAGGCAGGAAGAGCCAGCCAGTCCCGCCCTGTTGGCTCCCTCTCCGGGACCCCCTGCACACCCAGCCCTACCCAGGTCTCTCTCCACTGCCCCTGCCCAACTCTGAATGTCGCTGCAGGACTGCCACCCACCCTGTGCCCAGCACTCACCTAGGTCCTTAGAGGGCAAGCCACGGGCTTGCAGGACACGGATGGTGAGCAGGCAGGTCCCGGGCACCTTTGCCTGCAGAGGAGAGAGAAAGGTTTGTTGCAGACAGAGACCCAAAGGAGACGAGGGCCTAAGGGGACGCTGGTGTGATCCCTTGAGGCCTACTCCTGAACCAAAAGGCCCAGCCCTGCCCAGCCACAGGCCTGAAGGGAAGAGAGGCCATGACACCTGCCAAAGCTTACACAGTGCTCTGGCCAGCTCTGGCCCAAGGTCTCTTTGTACATTAACTCAGTCACACAAACCCCTACGTGTGGGGACCACTTATGACCAACCACACAAGGAAACTGAGGCAGAAAGACTAAGTAGTCATTTGCCCAAGATCCAGAGCCAGGGTTGGCCCAGGCCAGCTCGACGTGCTCTCAATCCCCTTCCTGCTCCCAGCCTCTGACAGTCCCTCTTCATCCACACACCCCGCTCACCCTCGATAAGCAGCCTGCAGGCTGGTCTTGGGCGGCAGGGGCCCAGGAAGAGATGTCAGGGCCCGGCCTGGCCCCGGGACCCCTGGTGAGCTTCCCCCACCCCCATACTCTCCACCCCCGGCCAGGGGAAAATTCTGGAAATGGGCTCTCTACTAAGGCAGGGAAAGCAATGACCAGGTCAGATCACCCACCGGTCGTCAAGTCTTTAGGTCCTAGAGGGTCAGGCTAACAGTGGCCCTCAGGCAGCTCTATCTAAACCCATAACCCTGGGTGGGGGATGTGGACCCCAGCAGGTTGCCAAGGCAGGAAAACCTGTGCCAACCAATCTTCCTTTTGGCCTTCAGCTCTGCCTCAGGAGGGGCCCTAATGGATGGATTCCAGAGAAGAGCTGGGGCCCCCATCCCAAGCAACCGAGTCAGAAGGAGCACTGGGGTGGCCACTTCCTTTGGGGCCAGGCCTGCAGCTGGGACTGAGTTACCAGGGCCCAGGTCCGTGGTGCCAGGGAGCTGCCTGGAGCCTCTCCCTAGGGCAGGACAGTCCCTCCCCCCAAGACCCTGCTGCTCCCCTGACTTCCACTCGCCACCCTGGTCCAAGAAGCCCACACCTCTGCTAAGAAACAGGAATACCCAGGCCCTGGGAGAACCAGGGCTTAGAGTGGGATCCCAGTTCCATCTTACCAGAGCCATGGGGCTGGAAGTCCTCGGGAACCAGGGATGACAAGCAGTGGCCGGAGGGCCGAGGACTGTCAGCTTTTTGATCCAGGGCCAGGGATGTCCCAGATGGCTCCAAGCTCCTCCCCAGTCCCTCCCAACTGCCTCTGCTCCACCCCAGCCCCACTCTTTCCTGGACCCGCCACCTCTCCAGGAAATGAGGCACCTAAACCTACATGACATCACTGACTTCCCTGTGGGGGCTCATCACCCCCAAAGACGGTCTCTCCAGCCATCGCCATCTGCACCCACCCCACCCAGCCTGCTCGCCCCGCTCTCACCTGGAAGAGGGGTCTCCAGGAGAGCTTGCTGTCAGAGGCTGAGCAGAGAGACCGGAAGGTAGGGCCTGGAGGCGCCACTTAGGTCTGGAAAGCAGGGGGTGGGCCCAGAGCAGCAGCAAACGGAAGAGCTGTGTCCTCCATGGCAGGGCCTTTTGCAACCTCCCAGTGCCAGTACGACAGGAATACCCAGTCTTGACTAAAGTGGTTGGCCAACCCGAGTGCCCCCAAGCACCATCATGACCTGGCAGGGCGTGGTGTGTTCTATGAAACAGCCCTTCAAAGCCAGCTGCCTCCACCCTTGCGCTGGGGGATGAGGCCTCCAGGTGGGCACTCGGGAAAGGGGCCTCTTTCCTCTCCAGGGCCGGGCTGGGGGGAGAGGGAGTCTGAGTGTGTAGACCCACTCCTTCCACAGAGGAACAGTCTCAGGAGGGGCAGGGGTTTCTGTCCCCTCCTACCTGCAGGAGGAACAGAGGTACCACATGCCACCAGCTGCACCAAAGAATTATGATGAGACTGAGGTCAGCCTGCTGGCTAAGAGGGGCGGCAATGGCTGCCACAAAGAGTGGGGTCTTGGCAGCACAGAGCTCCTCGGGCCCAGGCCCAGACCCAGCCCTCACCCCTAATCAGAGTCACCCTGAACTGTTTACCTGACCCTTCCAGCCCTCACCAGACCACAGAAGGCAACTCTGAGAGGGTGTCAGCACACACAAGTCACAGCCATGTTTTATTGAACAACAACTCCGTGCCAACCCATGCTGTCGTTACAGATACCATCTCCACTCCTCACAACACCCGTGAGGTAGGCGTCACCGGGAGGTATGTGTCTCACAGACAGGACACCGATGCTCGAGGCACTGACTCACCCAAGGTCATGGAGGTGAGGGGCGGGGCTGCACCTGGAGCCCGTCTTCCTCCAGCGCAGGCTGCTGCTTCAGCTGTGAGCTCACAGACCTGCCTGGTACTCCTGGTCTCAGACCGCCTCCAGACATCCTGCAAAGCTGACTGCAAGCTAAGCTGGGCCAGGGGCCAGCACACTCTGACTCCAAGTTGCCTCTGGAACTGACCTGGCCCAGGAGGGGCACGACCTTGTCCATGAGTTGTCCTTGGTAATATTCATCAGGGCTCCATCATTCAAGGCCCGAGGCCTTGGTGAGGGAGTCCAGCAGCTGGAAGTAACTGTACTTGAGGTCATACTCCATATCGTACCAGAAATTCACTGCAGGGAGAACGAGACCTGAGCAGGAGGGTCCCCTTCTAACCTACGGTCTCCCTGACCCATCTCCCAGAGGCCCTGTTGGGCTGCCGCCAGGGGCCTGGGCAGCTCCTCACCAGCGATGCAGGCATGGGACTGCTGGACATGGTGGAACCACAAGGCCGGCAGGTAGAGCATCTCACCAGCCCGCACTGTGCAGCGAAGGGCCTGGGCCTCACTGTAACTGGGGTACTGAGCCAGATCTGGGGCCAATGGGTCCAGTGGGATCCAGGGCACCTGGGGACACAGGAGATGCCCAGAAACAGGCTCGAAGCCCCAGGCCCTCCAATTCCATCTCTTCCAAAGGTAAACACCACGGGCCCTGCCCTCCCCTGCTCAGCACTGGGAGGCCCCCGATCTGGGGATTTTTCAGAGCAAGGTGCCACAGCCCCACCTCTCTCGTGCCTGCTCCTCAGGGCCCAGGTTCCTACCCTTCCCTCTCCCCGGGGCCCAGGACAAGACAGACACCTTCTCCATGGCCTCCTCATCCACCATTTTAAAGGAGCCCTCTTCAGTTAGCTGGTAGGTTGCTGGCGTGTACATCTCTGAAACCAGAGGGAGGAAAGGTGGGGACCCTCGGGTGGCTTGCAGCTTGCCAGTCACTCCCATTTATTTGTTCCCTGGGCACAGGGGCAAGAAGGTCAGGAGTCCTAGTGTAGTGGAGACACTGTCTACACCGCAGGCCTAGGGCACCAACCTGCCCAGGGTCTCACTGCCCTCCTTCCACCTTGGGCTGTCTGCTCCCCAGGTCCCCTGCAGGCCGAGCCCCCTACCATAGGGGATGAAGGGCCGGTCACTGGGTGGATGAAGCAGAAAGTGTTTCTCTCCCGAGATCACACAGTAGAGGTTCTCATAGTGGTCCTTATGCACTGCCAACACAAAGGCCCAGTGGGCAGGGGTATGAGGGGCAGGGCACAGGAGGGGCAAACAGTCATGCTGCGGGCCTTACACCCAAGAGAGCTTATGGTGTTAAGAGAAGAGCACACAACATCAGAGTAGATTTGAGGGGATGCCAAGGTATCTGGTGGGTTTCAAGCATTTCTGATCTCTGTCCTCCAGAGACTTGACATTTCCGAAGCCCTGGGCTCAATTCCACCAGGAGGGAAATTCTAGCAAACAGGTCTCTCCTGAGTTCACCCCCGATCTAGCTGGCCTTTGGAAAGCTTTCTAGGGACCTAGGGAAGCAATGCCCTCCATCCCCAATGCCACGGGGACCTTCCCTCACTGAGCCGTCAGAGGAGGCCCTCTCTTGTGTCTGAGCCCAGAATCCCAAAAGAAATCTTAGACAAAACTCAGTCTAACTTCTGTACAGGCCCAAGCTTCCATTCTCGGTCTCCCCACTTGACACCTACAAGATGTCACAGCAGCTGCCTCCCCCAGCCAGAAGTTCACGGCATCAGGCATCTTTCCTGCAGGTTGGAAGGAGAGGGTGAGTTAGGAGAGGCGGCCCGAAGGCCAGGCTAGGAACCACCACCTTACAGTGATGCGGGCCAGCACCTGGGAGGGGAGCAGGGGGTGCAGGGAGAGGGCAGAGGCGGGCCACTGGTGAGGGGCAGCGATCTTCCGTTCATTGATGTAAAGTCGAGGCCTGGGGACCTGAGCGTTCAGGGCCACGCCATCAAAGGGAGAGCAGACGCAAGCAGGGCCCCACCTCCACTCACCCAGCGCCTCGGAGGCCCAGGGCACGTGGGGCTCCAGATCAGGCAGCAGCTGGGGCAGCTCGGTGGGCAGGTTGGAGCACTGCTTCTGCACGTAGAGGACTCCTGGGTGCTGGGCTCGGCCCTCCAGCACGTCCAGCACGCAGCTCAGGGGCAGGCGGCGCTCAGCAGGCATCACAAAGCGGTCCCCTCGCACAGCATCCGCATAACCATCTGGGGTCACGGCCACGCTCACCTCTGTGGAGCCCACTGTAGCTCTGGAAGAATGGACAGTTGGCCCACACCCAGAGGCCACAAAGCACTGCCCACATCCCGCTGGGGCAGCCCCCACCTGAGGTAGGGGAGCGACCACTTCCGCAGGGCTGGCCAGTGCTGCATGGCGTTGCGGATGATACAGGGCCTGTTGGGGCAGACCCAGTCCCGGGAGAAATGGAGTGGAGTTGGAGGCTTGTCCAGGTAAGGTACAGCAAGAGGCACGTTGAGCTCTGAAAGAGGGGAGCAAGGGCTGAAGCCAATAACACCCAGTTGCTGCCCCACTGTCTGCATAAGAGATGCCCTCCCTGGCAGGCCACACTGTCCCTAGACAATGCCATTGGTGACCAAGGCATCCTGGACAATCAGGAATTGAATGAGGAGGGAAATTTAAGGGAGAAAGCCTGACATACCCACAAACACACCACTATGAGCCACAAGAGTTGGCAGGGCCAGGGGCTACTGCTCAAACCCTCCCTGGGACCATGTCTGGCCTGTACCACGGGCCCTCAGCTCTCCCACTCGGGAATGGCCAACCTCCTGGCATCAGCTAGGAAAGGCAGCCACTGAGGCAGTGCTGGGAGCTCCAGAAGGAGCAAAGCTAAGGCCCCAGGGTTACGGGCTGGTGTGGGTGGGCTGAGGCTGTGGAAAGCACCCTCTAACAGTGATGTTTACAGAGCACCTAGAATGTGTATACATATATATGTGTGTATATATGTGTATATATATGTTTTTTGCTTAATCTTTTCATCTTCTTTCATCCAGACTCCCAACCACCCTCCCCTCTGACAGCTATCAGTCTGTTCCATGTATCCATGCCTGTTTCTATTTTGTTTATCAATTTATTTTGTTCATTAGATTCCACACTTAGAGTGAGGTCACATGGTATTTGTGTTTCTCTGACTAAATTAGTTCACTTAGCATAACAATCTCCAGGTCTATCCATGTTGTTGCAAAGGTAAGATTTCCTTCTTATTTTATGGCTGAGTAGTATTCCATTGTGTAAATGTACCACAACTTTTTTTTTTTTCTTCTTTATTGATTTTAGAGAGAGAGAAAGGAAGAGGGAGAGAGACAGAAACATCGATGAGAACATCGATTGGCTGCCTCCTACATGCCCCTCACTGGGGATCTGGCCCACAACCTGGGCATGTGTCCTGACTGGGAATCGAACGGGTGACCTCTTGGGCATGGGTCCACACTCAAACACTGAGCCACACCAGCCAGGGCCACCACAGCTTTTTTAACAACTCATGTACTAATGGGCACTTGGGCTGTTTCCAGATCTTGGCTATTGTAAATAATGCCACAATAAACCAGGCCCCCCTTTTAAAAATTGTAATCTGCCCAGCCGGTGTGGCTCAGTGGTTGAGCACCAACCCATGCACCGAGAGGTCACCAGTTCAAGTCCCGATCAGGGAACATGCCCAGGTTATGGGCCAAATCCCCAGTGGGGAGCATGCAGGAGGCGGCCAATTGATGTTCTCTCTCATCAATGTGTCTCTCTCTCTCTCCCTCTCCCTTCCTCTCTCTCTAAAATCAATAAAGAAAAAAAAAACCTGTAACCTTCTCCCAATAATTCTTATCCCCATCACCCTGCTTCCTTTATTTTCTTTTTTTTAAAAACGGATTTCAGAGAGGGAGGAAGGAAGGGGAGGGAAAGAAACATCGATGTGAGAGAGATTCATCAATCAGCTGCCTCCTGTCTGTGCCCCAACCAAGGATTGAACTTGACCAGGGACTGGACTCACAACCTAGGTAGGTGCCCTGACTGGGAATCTAACCCATGACCTTCCAGTGCATGGGGACAATGCTCCAACTAACTGAGCCACACCAGCCAAGTCCCTTTATTTTTCTATCATTTATCACCATCTAACACACTATATATTTCACGTATCCAATCGTTTATTGGTCTCTCTCTTGGTAAAAAGTAAGCTTTATCAGGGCAGGGATGCTTGTCTTGTTTACTGGCACATCCCTGGGACCTAGAATAGTACTGAGCACACAAGAGGTACTCAATAAATGTTTGCTTCATGGTTGAATGAAAGTCTCCAACCTCTCCTAGCTGGATGGTTGCTGCAGTGAACTAACTTGTTTCCTTGGCTTAATTCCACTCCCTCTCAAAGCATCACTCACCCGGACCGTCATCTTCCTAAAATACAATCTCATCTTGTCACACCTCCAGTAAAAATGTCTTTGATGACTTACCACTTACTCCTTACAAAATACTGTCTGGCTTGGCATGCATTCAGGTCTAGCCTACTTTTCCAGTCTAGTTTCCTCCTGTCTGCTGCCTGCCCCTTACCACACACTACTAAGGCAGTACCAAACTGTTCCTACTGCTTGCTCAGACTAAAATGCCTTTCTTCTGGCTTTTATCAAGGGTACAGGGCTTTACTTTGTTATTTTCATCCTTGAGGGCTAGCCTGAATGTCTTACTCCCAATGGGCAGTTACTGCCTCTTGCTCCAAAAGGCCACAGCATTCGTTTTCACCTCTGAAGTCATGCTCTCTCTCACAACAGCGTCTCACAGCAGCTTTGCTTTGCATTGCAATTAGTCGGAAAGTGAATGTCATTAGACAAAAAAGTGGAACAGGGTGGGAACACAGGCCCTGGTGGGCCAAGGAAAATGGAAAAGGAAAGAGCGGGCATGTGCGCTTGCTTTACTGGAGGGAGGGTAAGATGAAACCTGCCAAGTAGCCCTGGCCAGTTTGGTTCAGCGGTTAGAGTGTCGGCCCGCAGACCAAAGAGTCACGAGTTCGATTCTGGTCAAGGGCACATACCTCAGTTGCAGTTTGGGCTCTGGTCGGGGTCATGAGTGAGGCAACCAATCAATGTGTCTCTCTCATGTTGATACTCCCCCTCCCCATCTGAAGATAAATGGAAAAGATTAAAAAAAGAAAAGAAATCTGCCAAGCAGATAATGGAGCAGGGAGAAGAGACTGGCAAAGGGCCTTCCAGTCATGCCCATCAAAGCAGTCATCTTGGGGATGGAGGAGGAATGTGGGGCTCAGTAAATCTCCCTATTATTCGCACTAGGTTTTTAAAGTACATGGAAACTGCCCTTTTTTTGTTTTTGTTTTTTTAACCCTTTGTAGTTCTGCAGCTACTTCAGTTTTACTTTTTCACCATTTAATAGTTTTCCTTGACAGAATGGCCACTGTTTTCTCCTGGGGTTTCAAAGTGAGGGAATTTCAAAAGGGATTCAAACAATTCCTTTGGCCCAACAATAATTCTGCTAGAAATTTAGCCAAGAAAAATACTCACACATGTGCACAAAGACGGCTCCAGGCACAATGGCCTCTCCAGTTCCTTGAATACACCAGGCACACTCCCACCTCAGGGCATTTGCCTGTCCATGCCCTCTCCCCTAATGCTCTTCTCTCCGATGTCTGCACAGCTCACTCTCCCTGCCTTCAAGCCTGTGCTCAAATGGTGCCTTATCAAGGAAGCTTACCCTGACCATCATTTAAATTTGCAACCTACCCTGCAGCCCCACATCCTGAGGTCCATCATTTTGCTCCCCCACCCCCTACCAGAGCACTTATCCTGTAACACATTTCTTCTATATAATTTATTCACTTTGTGTGCCTATGGTTCATTGTCTCCTCACTTAGAATTGTAAGCTCTATGAGGGCAGAGATCTGTTTTGTTCAGTGATGTATCGTAAACACACTGAACAGAGCCTGGCACACTGAAATGCTTATGTACAGTCATGGGCCACATAACAATGCTTTGGTCAATGACAGACCACAAATACAATGGTGGTCCCACAAGGTGTGTGGTGATGCTGGCAGTCACATAAAAGTACATATAGCACATTACAACTATAGTAGTAGGCTATAATATCTAAGTTTGTGTAAATCTCTATGATGTTTGCACAACGAAATTACCTAGCCCATGAATGTGTTTGTTAAATGAATACTCAAAGTATTCCTGGCAGCACTACTGAAAATAATAGATTGGGAATGACCTAAATGCCTAACAGTGGGCTGATTAAGTAAATTACAGCACTAGTACCCAGGTGTGAAAAAGATTGCCGTACAGGGATATGGAATGATCTCCAAGATACATAACGCAGAAGAGTATGTGTAAGCTGGCTATTTGTAGGTATATAGTCTTGTGTGCGGATATAAACAGTATTTTGGAAAGATGCGAACTGGGGCATCCTGGCAGGAAAGCGTACTTCACGTTCTAAATCCGTTGTTTTTTAAACCATGTGCCCATGTTCTACTTGTGAGAAATCACGCACAAATAGAAAGAGAAAAGGGAGGAAGAAAGGAAGGGAAATGAGGGAGGAACATAAAAACCAAGCAGCGGAGAGCCCGGGATCACTTGCACAGCTGCCCGATTCTCCCCAAGCTCTGCAGGCCCCCAGCTTGGAGCAGTCCGTTCTTGAACCGAGTTCCAGCAGGGGTTCATGGAGGGAGAATCAGACCACCTTCAAGACTTCACGACAGGAAACGGTGAGACGGGCAACAACACACCCCTGATCATTCAGTGCGGGGCTGGCCGTGGAAAACAGGACAGCACCGAATAGTCAGTCACCCCAGGAAGACACGAGGGCGTGCAAACGCGGCAGGAAGGGCTCCCACCCGCGGGCTTGGAAGAAGAGGTTCGACAGCAGAGTGATCAGGAAGGTGGCATCAAGCAGTCACGTGCACGAGGTTCTGCGCTCCTCGAGGACAAGAACTGGGGTGAATCTGCGGTCCAGGAAGTACCGGGACAAGGCGACTCAGGGACCCAGTCCCCGGCATGCCCACGGTCCCTCCCGCGCCCCGAGACACAGATGCAGTCAACGTCTCAAGACGCCACAGCCTGAGCAAACCCACTCACCTCTTACCGCCGCCGGGAATTCTCGTAACTCCCTCTGCACGGCGTCCAAAGCCGCCTCCGCCATGACGCCGCCACCCCGAGCCCCCGCCCGCCCCGAGGCCCCGCCCTCCGCCCCTGAAGCCCCCGCCCGCCCCGAGGCTCCGCCCGCCCGCCCCGAGGCTCCGCCCGCCCGCCCCGAGGCTCCGCCCGCCCGCCCCGAGGCCCCGCCCTCCGCCCCTGAAGCCTCGCCCGCTCGAGGCCCCGCCCCCGCAGCCCCGCCCCCCCAGCTGTCTCGAGGCTTCGTCCAGCCCCACAGCTCAAGCGCGCAGCCAGATCCCGCTCCCCTTCTCCCCGCCCCCAGCGCACCGCCGGATTCCACGATCCACACGGCGAGCGAGAAGCGCGGGCTCCACTTGCTGGCGTCCCAGAGTTAACAAATGATTGTTTATTGACCAGTTCATACATCAATACAAACGGACATGTTAAAAACAGCCCCTGCCCCGTGAGGCCTGGGGAGGAGGAGATCGCCAGGGACTGGAAGTATAAAAGTTATAAATTAGGGGCTTTCAAAACTGGGTCAGGGCAAATCTGGACAGGGACGGCAGCTGCCGGTGGCCTCAGACATGCAGAAGAGGACGGGCGCTGGCCCGGCCACAAGAGCCCCCCACCCCCAAAGGCTGGGCTAGGGGTAGGGAAAGGGCGGCCTCCTTCTCGCAAACATTAGCTGGAGTATTGCTGCTTGTGAGGGACCGGCTGGCTAAGGATTACGAAGAAACCAGCCCAGAGGGCCCGGCCTGAACCCTATTCGGGTGGGCTGTGGCTGGTGTGCCGCTTAGGGGTGGGGGTACAGGTGGGAGTGTATTTCTAGCCCTGACTAGAGTGGCTGCAGCCCTGCCAGGGCATCACCCTCAGCTGTGAGTTCTCCGGCCCAGGATTTCTCTGTAGATTGGCCATACAGGTGGTGACAGTAGAGAACAGTAGGGATGAAACAGGCTTCATCTGTTCAGGTGCACTCAGGCTGACCCAAACAGAGCTGGGCACCCTTCAGAATCCAATTTCTTTCTGTGCCTATAGAGCCAGTAGAGCTCAAAGACCTGTCCATGGGAGAATGGGCTTTTGTGGCCTAGAGCTATATAAAGCTGCCCTGCCTTACCTAAGGCAGAAGGAAGCACTAGGGCCCAGAGACACACGTTCTTCACCCCAACACTGCAATAACTGCTTCACTACTTGGTCCTACTCTCCCTGCCCACTGTGCCCTATCTCTGTCTCCTCACCCTAAACTGCCCTTCTAATTCTAATCTATCCCCTCACCTCTACCACTTACCTGTCCTTACTACCACCTTTCCAGTGTGTCTCTTGGCTCCTGCCACAGTCCCATGTGCCTCCCTCCCCTCAACCTCCAATATCCAGAGCATCCTGGGTGCTCAGCACTGCCTTTGAGGAGGCTCCTTCTACCCAAACTGGGTATCCTATGGGCCATCTCATATCATCAAGACTGTGAACACCAAGAATCCAGAATTTGGGTTTAGTGTGTTCCACCCCTTTTCGTGCTTCTTGATAGGCATTCCACATGAGCCAGGGTGGTGAAGCTGGGGCAGGACATGAGAAGAAACTAGGCACACATCAGTCAACCAAGTATTCTAGCAATGAACATGCAACTGTTGTGTGTATGTGTGTGTGTGTGTGTGTGTGATTTCACCTCTGGCCAAGGTCTTTAGAAGGTGGGCTAGTGCCCTGTAAACCATGGGGGAAACTCCAACACCGGCTTCTGACTGAGCATCACTCAGGATGCAGGGAGAAGGTGGCCTCTGGACTCCAGCAACCTGCTGGGGGCCAGAGCTGGAGGATAGGAAAAACCAAGGGGCTGAAGAAAGGAGGCCAGGGCTTCATGTTTGCCTAGCAGTGGGCTTTACTGTCCCGCAGCAACATCCCACAGCTTGCTCCACAAGTTCTGGCCAAGACAGAAAGGGGACACAGGGAAAAAGACAATGCTAGGGCCCCCTTGGAGGGGGAATAGGAATGGAATGTGGGAGCTTAGGTCTTGATACAAACTCAAGCCTCTGGAGGGCTGGGAATGCCCTGACGGGCCATGGGGCTCTGCATTTCTGAACTGCCAGGAACTGGAGAAAATGAATAACCCCTCCTCTGGCAGCCAAGGGAGTGCAGCTAGTGTGGGAGGGGAAGTGGAGGTAGAGGAGAGACTCCGCTGTTGGCTGAAGGGCACTGAATACCACATTACCTCTCACCTCCAGCTACTGAATACCCTGTGTGTAAGCTCCACCCCAGGGAGCTGATCCCTGCAGTAATTTCAAATGGCTTCTAAGAAGAGAGAGGGCCAGCCCTTCCTGATCTCCCCCAGATGGGGCAGGCTGCCCTCCTACTCCTCACAGCACCAAGATGACAAAGACCCAAGACCTAACCCCTGCATGAGCTACTAGAGGAGCTGTGGAGGCAGGAGTTCCAAGAAAGTGAGGCAACAGCCAGGGAAATAAATTAATAAATACAGGGGCCCCATGAGGAGCAGCTGGGAAAGCTGCTTCCCCTCTGAGCGCTGATCACTGCTATCCACTCCAAGCATCCCCACAGGTTTTAGTGAGTGGAGGAAGCGCTAGTTTGAAATACGTGGAACATTCACTTGGGACAGGCTTCTGGAATTCAGAGTCTGCGTTCCATGCGACGCTCCACAGCTCGAAGCAGCAGCTCTGAGTATTGCTCTAGCAGGGCCTGTGTTTGCTCAGCTCCCACGGCACCAGGGCTTCCGCCCGGGCTGGACAGCACTGTCCCAGCCAGGGCCTCAAGCTCCTGCCGTACTGAAGAGAAGGTGTTTCTGAGGAGCTGGGTGATGCGACATTGCTCCACTGAGGGCGTCTTGCAGCTAGCCACCTGCAACAGACCGCAGAAGTGGGTTGGAGGAACAGTGGAGACCTGTCAATGGACGTATACAAAGGAGAGGACCCACCTGGGTAGCCTGCCCCCAAAGAAGGGACTGCATGCCCAGCTGGGTGTGACTGGGAATTCCACAGTCCGAGATCAGCCAATATGACCAAAGGCTATGGGTTGGAAGCAGCCTCTGGGGTGACCTCAAAAGAGAAGCCCAGCAGATTATGGTACCATCTAAATTTTGTTAGTAACTCCTCTTTCAAGGCATGGCCCTGCTGGACTGCCCCCATGTCCAGGGCGGCCAAATAGTCTTTGAATATGAAAAAGGTTACTATTAATAATTACACTGGGACAACAGGCATAAACTGGGATGGTCCTAAGCAAACCAGAACATGTGGGCTCTCTACCCCGCCTTCTTATCTGAGGATGTCACCAGCTCTTAGTAGAAATAACCAACAGGTGCTTGGTTCAAGTAGCCTGGCCTGGCCTCTGACTTCCTCACCTCTTCCACCCAGGATGTTCTGGACTGCTCCACCCACCCATCAGTGGAAGAGCATTATCATTATTTCTGGATACTCAGCCAGCACTCCTGAAGTGCTCCATCCCCCGCCAGTGGGTGCCCAACACGTACCAAGTGGTAGAGCTGCACAGCCTGGCGCACATTGCCCTGGAGCTCTGCCACAAGTTGTTCGCACTGCTCCAGGCTTACCACTGGTTCTAGAAGAGACAGATACAGCTCAGGCCCAGCAAAGCTGTCCTTTCAGCCCTCCCCACCCATGGCTGCTCAGAGCAGGACAGGCCTACCCTCCAGCATCATATCCCCTCCACCTGCCCTCAGCCCCTTCCTCTTGCCTCTTACTCCAAACACCCTCCCAACACCACACAGAAAATAAGGTCCAAAGGAAAGGGCCAGTCCCAGAGGCCAGAAGGCATTGAGGGGCTAGTGGGTCACAGGAATATCATGAAAGTTGGCAGGAGTGTCTCACCATCACGGGTGTGACTTATGGACCGAGACAGGAGCAGACAGGACGAAAAACGCCAGAGGCTGGACGCACAGAAATGGAATGGAGCCAGAGAGTGGCCAACAGAGACGGAGGAGAGAGGATGGGGCAGGAGATGAAAGCTGGGGAGCTGTGCACACCTGAGGCCTGGCTTAGGGCTGCCCCTGACCTGGTGCACTCCATGGGGCTGGGAGTCTTCTCAGGGGGTGGGGGCTGCAAGTTCTCAGGGTCTTGGAGGCTGCCAACCAGCAGGTACTGGGCACAAGGGCTGTTGGGCCCAGGCTGAACCTGGCACTCTGTCTTAGGCCTGGGAGGGGTACCCTCCCCTAAACAAGCCTGCCTCTCAGATGTACTGTGAGCCTTTCCTAGGCCCACTGGGGAGGCAGGCTGTTCTGCCTCACCGAGGGCCCGGCCATTGGTAACAGGTGAAAATGTGGCCAGGATAGGACGATCAGGCAGTGGCTTTGGAATGTCCAGGACCAAGTGAGCCCGGTTGGGCAGGGCCAACTGCCTAAGTGGTGAGACCCGGATAGGGGCAGGAGCTTGAGGTTCAGCCGCCAGGCCCAGGTTCTCCCCAACAGAGATGCTGCGGGGTATCTTGGCCATGGAACTGGTGTTGGGGTTCTGGTAGGAGTGGGGCTGAGACAGACGGTCATCAGCCTGGGACAGGGAACGTAGGACCTCCTGGGCTTCCATCTCCCGTAACAGTAATGGGCCTGGTGGAAGAGCCCCACCTACAGAGGAGACAGAGATATATGCAGGTTAGGTGGTAAGGAAGGTGTCCCAGATGCCAAGACTCACTTCCCAAGGAGCTGCTATGCCCTGCACATACCCACTGAAGGACATCCAGTGGCAAGCACAGTAACACATAGGGCCACAACAGGCCCTCCTTCCTCTAGCTCATGTGCTCCCCACTCCTCCCACCTGAAGCTGAGCCCATAAGGCTCCTCACCCTGTGGCGCCAGGCTCTGCACGGACTGGGCTTTCTGGAGTCTGCCTAAGTGGCTGGCTGTGGCCACTCTCTTGGAGATCCAGCTGCTTTCTGCATTGACACGGCGTCGTGGCAACAGCACAGGGGCTGCCTGCTGGGGGCCAGGGTTTCCAGGGGAGGGCTCCACCTCTGGGGGTGCTCCTGGAGGATTAGCACCACTGCTTCTTAGCTGCTCACCAGAAGCCTGCAGCACCTGGACTGGCCTCAACGTCAGTGCCAGGCTTGAGGAAGATGGGGACG